TGCAGAGTCTCCAAAGTGCTGGACGTCTGTCTTATTAGCGTCTTGATGCACAATTTACTCCGATATGATGCTCATGTTGTAGCCTGGAATATGAGGATGCAGGTTTATTTTGAGATATTAGTCATTTCCCTCAGCACCTGCATTGTGTGTCTGTTTCTGCGTCTGTGTGGTTGTTTCTGTGTGTTCCTCTGTGTCTGACCATGTCATGCTTGTTTTTGTTTGCACAGCCCTCAGCCAGGGTCCTGTGTGTGTGTGTTGTGTGTGTGTGTGTGAGCATCAGACAGCCCTCCAGCTTCCTGTGGCTTTGAACTTTGACCAGCACAGCAGCACTAGCAGCCGTTAACCAGTGGAGAAACAGCTGGCTGCCATCTTTGAACTGACAGTGTGTGTTTAGCGATGAGGACCTGTAGGAACATGACTGCAGAACAAAGGAAAAGGCGGAGGTGTGGCGAGCCGGACGCTGATAGACCACGCTTTGTGTGTGTGTAATGGACTGTACCTTCATGAGACTTAATTGGGCTGCTGCCTCTTTTTCACCTCTGACTAGTAGTGACCTTTACAAAGTGTGATTCACAAATTGAGTTTCTACAAATAACATTGTAAAGGAGTGTTGGCGCTAATCAAATCCAAACACATGCACACAGTGTGCATTTATTTTTAACTGTGTAGGGATGGGATGCTATATTGGGCTATTTTCTGGATGTCTGTGCTGTTTGACTGCCCGTTCATTCTTCAACAAATCAACGTTGATAGCAATTCCTGAAACATTGGGAATAAGGAAAGACAAGACAGTAAAGTTTGAGAGTAAAGTGTGGTACTGCTGTTGACCCAGAGCACACACACCCACAGTATCAACTCGCAGCAGGCCAACACATTAAATATGTAGGCATGTGTAAAGAAACCCTGTCCTCTGTTTCATCGTATTCAGACGAGAGCACCTCTACGCTCTTTTTTTTCCGACTGCCTCATTCCACCTCTTCCCCTCCTCCTCTTCTCCACTATCTCACTCACACACACGCACACGCGCACACACACACAGGCCGGAGACACTCAAGAACTGGTTTAATTCTTTACTTGTTGAGTTTTCTCCCACTTATATCCTAAAAATACAAGTTATAGCAATCTGTTATATTACTTCAAAACCGCAGATATAGCGACTCTAATAATGTAGTATTTGAATATGGAGCTTTAATGGACAGATAGGTGGGTTATGTATCCGTTTGCCCCTCAGTTAAGCCCCTGAAAAAAAAGGATGAATGAAATAGTGAGGGGGTGTTTGGGGGAAGGGTATAAGGAGGCGGGGGGACATTCTTTCTAGGCCCCCCATAATCACTATTTGTGTTTGGCTGCATTGCCCCACTTCCAGTGTGTGTATATGTGTGTGTGTGTGTGTGTGTGTGTGTGTGTGTGTGGTGGGTAAAGGGGTTCACTTGCAGCCCGGCCGCTATACTTTAATTTCATTCATCCGATGGGGACAAAGCAGGGAGTTTTGGGAGTTTCAGTGAAAAGCAGCCTGACGCCTGAATGTCTGATAAATGTGAGCACCATTCACCCCCAATCACATGAAGGGTTGCTTCAACTTGAGAACAAACCTGCTTTTTCAATAATTTATATATATATATATATATATATATATATATATATATACATTTCATTTAAAAACCCTAGATTTGATTTATTGGAAATATATAATAAAGGCAAGAGACAGGCTGAGACGGGACTACTTTTTTGTGTAATATTAAAAGAGACTAATTTAATGGAGTTTTATTTATCATAGAAATTGCCTTAATTGCTGACAAAATATGTTTTATCAATTTTATAATAAGTATACAAAATGCTGAGAATGTCTCTTGCATTAGGGGATAGCAAAAACAAGATAACTCGTATACATTTAAAGGGATTTCCCCATGTTTTTAACTCTAAAACCCCCAAAAGGTTGGGTTAAATTGACCTCAACTATAAGTAAATGATGTCATAAAAAAGAAGAATGTTTACATTTCAGTTGGTCTTAAATGACATTCTAAGTGGCATTAATAAAGTCTTAACTTGCTTAACCTGTAGGGACCCTGAGGAGTATAAAGAGCTGTAAAGGTGGTGAAGCGTCTAATTAGCTAATCTCATTCAGCTGTGTGTTCCCACCTGCAATTAACGGTAGCCATGGTGATGGTACTTGCTGGGTCAGACAGTAAATTAAACAGATAGGATTTTACATATCGAGGGCTAGTAAAACCAGATATATCTTAATAATTTATTGTATATTATATATTATACTATTGTGTTAATTGTGTCTTTGCACTATACTCTATCAGTCAGAGAGCGCTGGCTGTTTTCCAGACGTTTAACCCGAGCTTTCTGCCCGACACACTGACAGCTGGCCCGACGACACGCTGCAACACACACCGCTGACATATGACAACACTTGCTCACAAACTTCTCAAAAGCAATTTTAAACTGTGTCTATTGGGTTTTTATAGAGGTATTCACATTTTTCAAAGCACATCCTCCCTTTCTTGTCTTTTTCCTTTGTTGTTTTTGCTAATGGCGGAGTTTGGGGTTAATTAGAAGCTGGTGGACTCTGTTTGAAGACTTGTGGTCTGTTAGAGTCGAATGAAGTGTACCTGCCATGTTAAATACCTGTCTAAACTGCATCCTGCTTAAAAACGGTCCTCTTTTAGACTCTTTTCAGTCTGTTCTCTTTTTGCCTGATGATTTAGTTCCTTCTCTAAATCCCTGACTCATGTCCTTATTTCCTTCCTTACTTCCTTATTGTCCCCATCTTCCTCTTTTCTTCCTCTCCTTTAAGAGATGATAGAGATGTGTGTTTTCTATCTGTGTTATATTTTGTCCAGGGTGTTCCTGTAAGACGCTGTCCCTGTTTATCATCTTAAAGGTCCCATGTCATGGCCATTTCTACTGATCATATTTCCATTGTTGAGGTCTACTAGAATAGATTTACATTGTTCAATGTTCCAAACTCACATTGGTTTCTCATACAGCATCTCTGTATAGTATGTGTATTCACTCTCTGTCCTAAACGGCTTGTTGGAGCTCCTGCCCCCCCCCTCCCTGTGAGCCCAGTGGCCGTCTGCGAGACAGCGAAACCCAGCTCGAAACCAGCCCGAGCACAAACACACACCCGCAGCCTGGCTGGGAGTGTGTGTGTGTGCTCACCGAGCTGCAGCTGAGAAAAGATTGTGTGTGTTTGTGAGGAAGTCCGCGGATTGGTCCATTTGGACTTAACGTAACGGCTCCGTGGACGTAACGTAACGTCACTATACCCAAGAAGAAAACAATGGAAAAAGAGAAATCCCCAACGAGGCGTTCTGGGGCAGCATAGACAGGTCTTTTCTGTGTTAGAGTTTTACTCCCTACAGGGTGTACTTTGAGGGTTTGTGACTCTGCAGACCGTTTACATGCAGAAGAAGCTTCATAACACACAAGGGGACGGGTCATAACCAGAAAAGCATGACATGGGACCTTTAATATAATCCCCTAAAATCAGGAGTAATTCCTGGTGCTTTACTGGCTTTATATCTGTGTGTGTGTGTGTGTGTACAATAGAGTAGATTCCAGCCTGCCCACAGCTACATGTATTAACTGTGTAATGGTAACCAGCTGCACTCTCACACACGCTGCTTTACGGACGACACATGGGACCTTTACAGTGTGAGTCACTGTCTAGCCATTGTTGTGCTGACACACTGCATGTAGCATTACTGAGGATCTAAGCTCTTAATCTGTCAGGTTTCTTCATCAAATGGAGCTGAAAACAGTGTCCTCAGAGTACCCTTTTTAACACATATTTATTGGGGGATGCTATGAAAACAGCCTGAGCATACATCATCCTGCACAGTGAAGCCAAAGTGAAATAACAGTAAGAAAACACAGTTATGAGACCAGGGGGATTTTAAATATTTAGGTATAAAAGGTCTGTCGATTAGTCTTTTCTTAATGTTTTTTTTCACAACAATTACAGCCATATCCTGTGAAACGGTGCAGTTGTCGTAGGCTCTCCTTTTTTATTAATTTATTTATTTATTTGTTATAAATATGAACAGTTTGCTCGGTTTGCACTTAGATGATAATTAATGCCTCTCACTGCCAGTTCAACCATACTGCTTTGAAACCTTGCCACAATACCCTCACACCACTCAGTGCCAGCCTTTGTCTATATGCCCAAACACACACACACACACACACACACACACACACAGACTTCACAGTGAGGCTCCTTTACACACGCTAACATGACAGTTTTATTCACACGATTGTACACAATTCTTGTCCTTGTGTTTGACATCCAAATGGCTAGAGGAGGGGGTTTATTTTTCTTTATCCGTATATTTTTATGTCTGCACATGTCTCAGAGGGTAAATGAGATTACTATAATCCATCATGGCCAGAGAGAGGAGCAAATCCAATCCCAGTTTACATCGCTTTCTCCTCTCTTTAAATTCTTATTCATTCATGACCATCTTTCCGGATTTCCTCCCCTTCCTTTTCTTGTTTCCAGCAGATGAGACCATACAGATATAAGAAAAAACAACAAATGAATTAGTCCTGGAATGAATATAGTCTCAGATTTTCATATCCAGCAACTACACTGTAGCTATTTGGCATTTGTATGACAATAACGTTTTTAAATTGGATCTTAGACGGGTATTTCTGTGTAACAACAAGGCTGGGAATGGTTATCAAGCCAGTGATTGCTACATAGTTGGACAACACATTTATATTATCACATTTATATTATATACACTTGATTGAATTTTCTATGATAAAAAAGGTCAGCTGTTGGCTGTACGGAACATAATAGTCACACTGGATGATTACACATCAGCCACAACACATTACCCACAGCCTGGTTTTAAACTGCAATGGTTAGCCAAGCGCAATATTATTATCCGTAAACTTTACAGAGTGGTAATAACGATGAGTTTTATGTGTGGGGACATTAGCATCTAATAAACATATCTTCTGCTCTCTGTCTTTTTCTCCAGATGACATCCTGCAGACTCAGGATGGCACTCTGTGTGCGGCAGAAATCGGCTCTGAACTCCAGAAACAGTTTGCCATCCTACCAGGTGGGTTTCATTTCTGTCCCTCCTGACTTTTATGCATATGTAGGGGCATTACAGGAACTAAATACAGTTTACATATGATCTGTTGTTCTCGTGTAATTGTACAGTAGGGCTAAGGGCTTGCAAGAGATTCTCAAATAATCCAATTCAGTGACAGCTTTCTTTCTACTAGTGCAATTAGACCCAGGATTTTGAATGAGCTTATTACATTTAATTAAACAAAACAATGTTTTACTGTTGAGTTATTATGTTAGTGTAAAAGTGAAGTAGAGTTCAGGATGAACTAGTAACCCCAGCAAGGTCTTTTTCCAAATAGGCAGCATGGATTAGATTAGATTAGAGAATTGGGTTGTCGGTGCAAAAACACACTCGAGTAAACTGAAGTGGGTTTTATTTAAGGATAGATAACATTAGGGTTATTAACATAATGCAAGAGTTGGACTAAGGGAATACATTACGAGGAGGAGGTTTTGTTTTTCTTGCATTTTGTTCAATAACATGGGAAGATACTATACTCAAGCACTCTTTATTGTTGACCCTTATGCCAGGCCCCAATACGATTTTAAAATATTTCATTTTCAAAGTATTTTCAACGCCTTGTTTGCATGCTGCTGTGACTATAGCTTGAATCCAAGTGAGTGTGTGTCTTTGCAAATTTAACACAGATTTGTCATCCAGATTCCAGAAATAGCTCAACTTAAGCTCAGTGTGCAGACTTTAAAGTGGCATAATTTAAAAGATTATTATTATTTCTTAACCTGTTTCTATGTGGCTTGCATTTCATTGCGAAAGATGTGTCACTTCTCACGCAGCACCTTCATTTCCTAGTCAACACAATTTCAAAGTTTAGTTTTTGTTCGGATTATTTCCTTCAAGTTTAATTGCTTTATTTGTACTTTTGTCATCACACACATGCTGTAAAAAGAAAACGACCATGCAACCTAAAGTTCTCATGAACACTTTTAATATAAATCTTCCCACAAGCAACTGATCACATAGAAAAGCGTATGCACACACACAGAAACATACACTTAGGGCCCTGTGTTGGGTTACCATGACGAAAATGCCTGGCGAGTGACGGCATGTGAATAATTCATCACCACAATGATCTGCTTTGCAACTTGACCCACCAACGATTGAGAAGGCCTCTATAATGTGTGTGTGAGGCCCTTTTGATTTGATTATTTTGTCTTTGTATGGTCATAAGTGGTTTTTAACAAGTTCCAGGACACCTATTTGGGATTTTACAGACGTTAAAATCCATGAAAACAAAACAATTCAGAGAGACCATGTTTCTAAACTGATGATACAGCTACGAAAAAGGGCAATAAATGCAATATTTTTCACTTGTTTGATCTTTAATTGGGAGCTACCTTCAATATGTACCTGTCTGTTTCTGTCTCCCTGACCTTTGCGTCTCCAGGGGGCCGCGGGATGAATGGCAACCCCATCATCGTCTTACCAGAGTTCCCAGACTTCAGCGAGCTGGAGGAGGAGGAAGTCCAAAATGTCCTCGGCTACCTCAGCAGCGTCCCCAGGTTAGCATCACACACACACACACACACACACACACACACACACGCTAACACACACACACGCTAACACACACCATCTTTTATGCAGCCTAATTGGGTTTGACAACACACAAACAGTGAGGAAAATCTGGCCAATTTGTGCAGGTGCAATACCTCATGGAGCCAAGAGATGTCAGCACAATACTAACCGCCTGCTGCCACAAGGATAGCGCCAGAAAATACATAAAAAAAGAAAGAATGGACGACTGCAGGAGAACATTTTTCAGATTGAGAGACCAGGGAATAAAACATTTATGATTTGCAAACAGGAAGAAAAATCTCCCGCTTAAAATCAGATGATTTGGATGGATTTTTTTTCAAAACAAACTACCACAATAATCCAATACAATCATTTACAGTAGATGTTGGTTTATCTAACACCATCAGTTCATTATAATTGAATTCAAATCATTATATACATGTCTTTTCTTCTCTCTGCCCTTTCTCCTTTATTCTCTCCTCCCTCTCTCCGTCCCTCCTCCCCTTCCTTTAACCTCTCCGTTACTGCTGAGCGCTGCACTCCTCTCTCACACACACTCATGCATACACACACATCATTAAGGGGAGGAGAATGGATGGAGATGTATGCACTTATACACAAATCTACTAGTGTGTGTGTGTGTGTGTCATGGCGGCCTTTTTTTTGTGGCTCATCACCTTTCATATCCCACCCCCCTCCCCCTGAGTCCCCTCCCTTTCTCCCCACTAGCTATTTGCACCCTGCTGCCAATCGGCGGCACACTGCGCTCTGATTGGCTGTGGCAGAACAGCAAGATGCAGGGCTGGGTTTTGATTGGCTGAGGGTGGGAGGCAGGTGGTGGAGGAGCAGAGGGAGAAGGGGAAGGAGGAGGGAGATGCTCTTTAAGGATGTGAGCGGTCACCTCTTTCCATCCGCAAGCTGCAAACAAATGATTGTGGATGCAGGAATATGACACTGACAACAATGGAATAACATTGAGGAGGAATGGATTATTATTGGATGCTAACAATGGGATATTAAGGGATTTGTTCTGTGTGTCGTTGAATGCCAAGATTTTCCTCCGCCGGCTCCATTCATATGGTTTTGAATATTTTTTCCAGTAGAGATGGATTGAGGATTTGATGCCGCAGCGTTCTCTGGGTAGTGTAGTGTGTACATTTTACTGAATATATCTGTGTGTGACGATGACATTTGGCTAATAATAACGACCAGATGGACCAACTCAGCAGTGTTGGCCCGACTGTGTGTGTGTGTGTGTGCGTTTTACTTGTGTGTTTAGGTGTCAGGATGCATGTCAATTTGTCCAGCAGGACCTGTGCCGGAAATACTGCATTCACACACACACACACACACCCACAATGACACACACACACGCACACGCACACGCACACACACTAGCTTAATGAGGTTGCTACATATGGCAGTGCCTGTGGATTGAGTGGCAAGATTTTCACATACACACACATCGTCAAAGAGCCAAGGTTGCCATGGTAATCACAAGGGTCTCTCATAATCATCACTGATGACAGATGATTGCGACAGACAGTTGTGCCAAAAAATAAAAAAAGATATAACCTTTTGCAGCATTGCTTTTTATTACCCAAATAATATATCCTGCTCTCATGAAGACCAGTGAAATCTAGTCATTTTATATATCATTTGATATATGCTATTATGTTTCAGTTATGATAACGCTTGATTGATATTCCTCAATCCTCTCCTTGACTTGTCTAACAACTGTTAAAGGCTAGATATAAACCTGCATACAAACACACACATATATAAGAAGTGTTTTCCTTGTGTAATAACACTGTGTTCTCTCCCGCAGCGTTGCAGCATCAGGAGTGGGTTTCATCCTGGTTATCGACAGGCGACTGGACCGATGGGCTGCCGTCAGGACTACCCTGCTCCGCATCGCAGTAAGTGTGTGTTTGTTTGTGTGCATCATTTGCTGATGATGTACAACTGATGACTACAAATGGCTGTTGTGGTGTGTGTGCATCACTCTACACTGGTAATGCTTGTTTAAACACAGATCTGCGGTCTGTAGTTGCTGGTGTTAGCCGTGTGTGTAATTTGGTTTGTCACCACTTAGAGTAATGGATGTGTTGGTCTTCAGTTTGCTAGCTTGTACAAACTGTACATTATGTATGTGTGTGTTTTCCTGTACGGTAGAATATGTTGATATGAACCAGCAGGGTGGGGGTTAAAAATAGCGTATTATTATGCTAGCGTGGGTGGTGGAGTCTCACAACGTGTGAACACAGTGTGTGTGGGATGAGATGCAGTCCTGTTAGACGTGGACATCCAAACTGTGCCATTAGTCTGATTCAGTAACAGTGCCGTTAGCCTAGTAGCCTATTTTTTCTTGAGCAGTGTGAAACTTTTACCCCTCGCTGAGATGATGAATTGAAGAAGCAGCATAGAGTGACAGAGGAGGGATCTGGGGGAAAGAGGAAGAGAGGAAAGAGAATTGTGAACAGGAAAGTAAATCGTCAGCGAGTCTGAGCAGTGGAGAAGTTGATTTACATCAGACAGACTTGAGAATCAAAGTTGCTGCTCTCTGACAACCTTAGTATGAAGGATTCATAAAATAAAAAAGGAAACTGGTCCCAAAATAAAAAGTGTGGTTAGGGTGAGGCTACCAGACTGCCTTTGTGATATATTTGAGTTTAAACTCCCTCTAACAGCCTCCTAAAGTGTCCTCTATACCCTCTTCAAACCATAATTAACCAGCTCACCACACCCTGCACATCTGTTGTTAAGATGCTTTTCTTGTATTACACCCCTAAGCATGTCCAATATATGCAGATGTATGCTAATATATGCTAATCACACACTGATTATAATCAAATCTAATGGTCTTTCCATGGCATTTCTGAGAAACTATCCCCACTGTAACAATAAACCATTATGAAGCTCCTTGCTTCATAATGACTCCACCAAGTCACTTTAACCTGCACACACACACACATGCACTCACACACACTCAGCTGCACAGTGAACACACTCCCCCGCCAATAATAATGGACCATTCCAGGTTTATTATCCTATTCCAGTCTATTGGCTCAGTCCATGTCTTTGAAAGGGACATTGATGGACTCTGGGCTGCACTGATAGCAGGGAACCAATCAGGGGTTGTCTCTCTGTCTTAAAGAAATAAAAACAAGAGAAATTGAATTTGATTCAGCAATCTAATTATTATTCTCAAGAACCCTAGTTGGCCCATTTAAGCCCAATGATGTTTTTACTTTGCTCACATTGATGACAATAAAACAAGTGAAATGTGAAAAATATATATAATTATAACGCTAAGATAAAATAACACCCTTTCCTTCCCAGTCTTAAACCCTATATTGAGAGACAGGTAGTTCATTTGCATGTAAGCAGATGTCCTATTCTGACCAATAACAGCAGATTTGGCTGAAAGTGACAGGTGTGAAAACAGAGCTTTTCAGACAGAAGGTTAGTAGTCTTGACTTAAATACAAGTATGAACCTGAAAAGTAGAATAATACATGTCCCCTTTAATATAAGTCCCATTCAAAATCATAGATCATTTGCAGGTTTCCTTGAGCAGGATTGTGTCCTTGATAGCGTTATAACCTGAAGGCATGAAGAGCAGGTGGTGCTCTCCTCCTCAGACCCCGCACTTTTATCCCCAGGCGTGGATGTCCTCTTTGGGCACCGCCTGCTTTGTCCACCAGCCAATGACACGCAGCCTTACTGGAGAAAGAAGGTCGTTCGTCTTCCCGTGAGGCGTACTGCTGATCAAGGCCGCTCAAGGTCGCCCGCTGCCATTAGCTGGTTCCTTTCCAGATAAAAGAAAGTGGACTGGCCAGTATTGTCATGTAAACAGATTACTGTATGGCACACGCACAGATGCTCACCATGTACCTGTTATCTTGTACACAGTGATTTGCTACATAAAGGATGGACTCGGACCACTTGTTTATAGCCACCATGGAATAAGCAACACATGTTGTCACTTAATTGTGATGCTCTTATTAAATAGTGTAGTTTAGGAAACAGGGTTGAATCCACATGCTTTTGCAGTTAAATGAGGATTATGTTGCAGCCTGTCTTTGCGATTTAGATAAATAAATATGCGGTCATTGAAGCATGAACAACATTGCTGCAGGGTTGTAAGAGAGACAGCTCTATCACCTGGTGCAAGGAGAAGGCTTGTGTTTTTTAAGATGGAAAGCCGTTTGCAGCCTTTGTCTTTCTCTTTGTCATAATGTGACACTTTCATGTCCAAAAGCAGGCATATAAGCAGAGGGGGTTTGACTATTGGGTTTGATGCGGGCGCTATCCAACTCCCAGGAGAACAATATGGATGTCATTAGTGGACATGCCTCCCTGGAAGAATATAAATCACCCTGGTCAACAGAAAATGATATTCTAATCCCTAATCATTTATTTATGTGCGCTTCTTTTCATCTGTGAGAAGTGTGTGTGTAAGTGTGTATTCAGGGGATGTGTGTGTGTGCTCAGCAGCATGGCTGTGTTCATCTGTCGGGGGGGGGGGGTGCACTGAGCAGATTGTGTATTATCATGGTAATGCAGAGGCACAAATTAAACCATGACCTCTCAGGGTTTATTGAATTAAATTGATTCAGATTACAGGCGTATTGCTTGTTGTGATTTGTATGGTGTGTTGTTGGTAGAATAACAATACATTTCATATTTCTAAAGGGCTAAATTACGATTATTCTACTTATTAGTTACATTTTAGTCTTGACTAACGTTTAAAACTGCAGGTGATAATGAGAGCTCATGTGGTGTAATCTAAAATATGCTGTCAGTTTGGATGGAAATTGGAGATGATGAAAAACGATGAATTTTACAAAAACCTGGCTCTTCCATCAGTGTGTGTGTGTGTGTGTGTGTGTGTGTGTGTGTGTGTGTGTGTGTGTGTGTGTGTGTGTGTGTGTGGTGTGTGTGTGTGTGTGTGTGTGTGTGTGTGTGTGTGTGTGTGTGTGTGTGTGTGTGTGTGTGTGTGTGTGTGTGTGTGTGTGTGTGTGTGTGTGTGTGTGTGTGTGTGTGTGTGTGTGTGGTGTGTGTGTGTGTGTGTGTGTGGTGTGTGTGTGTGTGTGTGTGTGTTGTGTGTGTGTGTGTGTGGTGTGTGTGTGTGTGTGTGTGTGTGTGTGTGTGTGTGTGTGTGTGTGTGTGTGTGTGTGTGTGTGTGTGTGTGTGTGTGTGTGTGTGTGTGTGTGTGTGTGTGTGTGTGTGTGTGTGTGTGTGTAAAAATAACCGAGTGGAGCTGCAGCACCACTTCCATATGACTCCTCCTTCACAGAAACAGACATCAGTTCCTATCTTGTTCCTATTTTTCGCTTTCCTCTGTATCATCGCTCACATCCCATCATGCACTCTCCATCTCGCTCTGTGCGTTTCCATGGCAACGCTGTGCAGGCATTTCATGGCTATGATGTATGTTGGCCTCTGTGTGACTGCAGGTGTGTTTGTAAATTGAATTAAACATCTCTCGGCTTGCCTCTGCCCCTGTGTTTGTGAGAGTGTGTGTGTGTACATGTCACCCTACATCGATTTATGATGCCTAACAGGGTGGAGCAATTCACCCAGGGTTTTAGAGGAAGACTAATAACCGTACAGCCTTTCAGCTGAGTGGCCTCTTGGGCTGTTGTCTGTGTGAAGGCAATTCCCCGCTCTTAACCTCTTAATGTGTGGAGGTGGAGAGACGGAGGCGGCGGTTACTCCCTAAACCACAGGACTAATTTACCTTGTCGTGACAGATTGAAAGATGGAAAGTGCAACAAGGGAACAACTGTGAAGATTTGTAGCAGATTGAGTAGATGTTCAGGATTGCAGCAGAGGGAGCTGTTACACAAGTGGGCTTACTTCATACCTCTGCTGCAGAAAAATGAATGCATTCAAGAGAAAAAAGCAGCTATCAATCAAATCAGATATGGCATCTGCGGCTACTAGCAGTAAAGACCTGATTCCAAAATATAAATTGATGCATGTCACTCCACTTGATCTTGTTTTACCACATCATTTTCTATCAAATTAAAAGACATACATATGAATAGATTACTAAAACTCTTCTCCCTCTCATTTCTCTCTCTCAGGGTTCATTTCCAGGGAACTTACACTTGGTTCTGGTGTTGCGTCCGACTACTTTGTTCCAGAGGACTCTGTCAGACTTCCTGTTCAAGTACAACAGGGATGAGTTCAAAATGAAGGTATGACAAGTCTATCTTTGCTTCTTTTCTTTTTTTGATTTATGAGGACATACCGTGCCTCATGATCCGTGGATTGTGTGTTTTTTTTTAAGGTGGTGATGCTGAGTTCAGTGACTGAGCTCCATGCCTATATCGACCCGGGACAACTGACCACAGAGCTGGGAGGAACGCAGGAGTACTCCCATGAAAGCTGGATCTCACACCGCACTGTACGTACACACAAACATATCTTTTTTAAATAATATATAAATGTTTTGAAGATCAAAAGCCTAAAGGGAGCAGGCTGGGATTCAAACTGTGTCAATCAGAGACTTAAACCTGTATTTATCGGCACCTGAACGTCTCCTCCACAGGCAATCGAGGCCTTCGCTCTGATGGTGAAGACCACGGCGCAGACTCTGCAGGCGTTTGGCACTGAGCTCGCAGAGACAGAATTACCCAACGATACCGAGGCCACCACCGCCCTGCTGCACACGCACTCTCAGAAGAAGGACGAAATGAAGGTCAGATTTACATGTCAACCAACCAGATGTCCCTCTTTGTTTTCCTTCTTTCTCTGATTTTGTTAATTTTCATGTATATATATTTGGGGTGATTTTCTTTGTCGCAGAAGTGTTAAGAAATATCATTTGTTTGATTTCTAGGAGGACCTACAGGTGGCGCTGTCTCAAGGGGGGCGTCTGCTGGAGTGTATAAACGAGCCTCTGCAGACGGACCCTGAATACACCATGACCTATGATGAACTGGAAAACTTAGCGACTGTCCAGAGGTAGAGGAAAAGATGAATGGAAACATACATAGATAAAGAAGTGGTCCCTGAACGCATCATTAAATCCTCCCTCTTTCCCCTCAGACTCCTGGGTCAGCTGGATGAAACAGAAACAGCCTTCGATGACTTCTGGGAGCGTCACCGCACCAAGCTGGAGCAGTGCTTACAGCTGCGCCACTTCGAGAAGCACTTCCGTGAAGTGAGTGGAATTATGGGAAGTGTAGTTTTGCAGAAACAAGTCATGAAATGTGTGCTCTTATAACATGTGCGTGTCTGGTAGGTGCGCACTCAGCTCGACGTGACATCGGAGCGGTTGTCTGGTTTCTCTGAAGTCAGTGTAAGCCCCGCCCACGCTGAGCACGTCCTCCGAGAGCTCAGCGGACATGAGGACAAAGCCTGTGTAAGACACACACACACACACGCACAATTCTATGTCATAATGCAGCTCACGTGGGACAGAAAACACAAGCTCAACACTTTTACCTTTGATGCATCCTTGAAGCCATACGGCTGATTATATAATCAATGATATGCCCTGCTTCATCCCCCTCTCTCTAGCTGTGAGAAAGACTGTGAAATGTAGAGGTGGCACCTGTGTGGGCGTGTGGATTGGACTAAAATATAATAGCCTTTTCGTTTCAATCTCAGCTATGATGTAACCATTCATTCTTAGCACCTTATGATGTTTCATAATATCACATATTTATAAAAATAAAACCTTTAAAATGTAAAGATGCTGCTTTGCATTTTTAGCATATGGTACATTTTCTTATGTGGAAATAAAACCCTGATAATTTGCAATTACGACGACAGTAAATGTCCCCCTCCGTGCAGCATTAAGTAATGAACACTCCACTCTGCTTAGAGGACAAGTGAAGGCTGTTATACTGTCAGTGATAAATTGATCGTCCACTGATGTCCTGTATCCTAAAGTATATTCTGATCATGTGTTTCTAAAGGACGCACTAGACCACGCATTGTCCCTGGCCGGGGAAGGTGACCGGCTGATAGAAAACTCGCACTATGCCGAGGACTCCATCAGGCCGAAGTGCAGCGAGCTGAGAGGAGTGTGTGAGGAGATCAGCTGCACCCTGAGGAGCAAGAAGAGCCTCCTGCTCAGAGCCATGGAGCTGCACCACGCTCTGGAGAAGGTACATGTTGTTAAGTGATACAAGAAGAACATTTATAAACAACAGCTAAATACACATCTTTTTAGATTAGCTTTTTATTGGCAACATCCCCATGTAGGAAATTAGCCATGTTGGCTAAAGCTGCCCCATTTACAGTTTTGTGTGACAGTTGATCAATGGGGACTGTCCACGCCGCTATAAACAAATAAACTAAACTAAACTTTCGTATTATTATTGAGAAACTTTTGCCATGGTCATTAATTTCTATAATACTCTTGCTCCCAGGCGTCTCGGTGGTGTGAGGAGGGCATCTTCCTGTTGGCCAGCCAGCCTGTGGACCGCTGTCAGTCTCAAGATGGAGCTGAGGCCGCTTTACAGGAGCTGGAGCGGTACCTGGACACCGGGTCGCTGCACACGCTCACCGACCGCAGCGCCATCTGCTGCCAGTACGAGGCGGTGATCACCTCTCAGCTCAGGGTCCGTAGGAAGAGGATTTTACACACACAATTATAATGAGTTTACCTTTTAGTGAATTTACTGTAATATAGATGGATAGATAGATAGATGGATGGATAGATAGATAGATAGATAGATGGATAGATGGATAGATGGATAGATGGATGGATAGATAGATAGATAGATAGATAGATGGATGGATGGATGGATGGATAGATAGATAGATACAGTAAATAGATAGATAGATAGATAGATAGATAGATAGATTAGTACTTTATTGATCCCAATTTGGTAAATGTTTGCGTTGCTGCAGCAAAAAGAAAACAAGGCAATGTACATAAGAGAAATAAAGACACTGGAAATAAACAATCCAAAATATTTCTGAAGTAGAAATAAAATAGCATTAAAAAGTAAAAAAATATACATGTGGAAATACAAATTTCCAGTAACAAAATATAATGCAGGATATTACAGTATATGTACATTAATTGTGCAAGAAATTGATTATTCAATATTAAATTGAATATAAATGTAAACTGTACAGTGTGATTTTAAGTCCAAGAGAAGCTATGGAGCAGAGAGTTCTCTGTTATATAGAGTTATTGCAGTGGGCAGGAATGTTTACCTGTAACGGTTTTAGTGACTTATCTGTAATATCTGTAATATCTGTGTCTGGTCTCCATCAGGATCAGGTAGAGAAGGTGTTCCAGAAGCAGAGCTCGGTCCAGGAGATGTTTGAGAAGAGACGCGTCAGCCTGAAGAAGCTCGCCGCCAAACAGACCAGACCCGTCCAGCCAGTCGCTCCCAGACCTGAAGTCAAGTCCCCGCTCTCCTCTCCCAGTAAGCCTGGATCATTAGATAGACTGATATAATTAAGGAAGACTTATATTTTAAAACTCTGCTCTTCTAATGGCTAATTGTTTTGTCCCTTTCCTTCAGATCAACAGAGAAAAGAGAGGAGATACTCGGCTGATAATGCCATCTGTAAAAGGGTAAATATTTAATATATTTGTCTTAGTTTTGGATCATCCATTAGAGGTAATTGTTGTTTTAAAAAGATCAAAAGATGTTTGGGCAGAACCATATTAATACATGTGTGTGTGTCCAGGTGGAGTCTCCCATACATAACGGTGGCACTAGACATGTGTCTCTCTCAGAAGAAGAGGAAAACCTGGCAGTACTTCGGCGGTAAGGGTCTAAGGGCGGAAAGAGAGGAATCAAACATACATTCATTGATTTATATATAAATAAAATAGTAGTAAAAATCAACTGTTAAGAAAACAACTAAGTTTTTATTGTGTATTTCTGTGTTGTAGCCACGTGATGAATGAGCTTCTGGAGACGGAGAGAGCTTATGTGGAGGAGCTGCTGTGCGTGCTGGAGGTGAGTGTTTGTCACGTCACTTCAGTACATGCATATATCCTAAATATCAGCAAATCCATTGACCTAACGTATGTGACATTTAACTCCAGGGCTATGCAGCGGAGATGGAGAACCCAGCCATGGCTCACCTCATCCCCAGCACCCTGCTGAGCAAGAGGGTCGTTCTGTTTGGAAACATGTCTGAAATCTACCAGTTTCATAAGAGGTGCGCTTTCCCCCAGTCTTTATGCTAAGCTAATATGAAAGTGGGATCAATCTAACTCCCTGCAAGAAAGTGAATAGAAATAAATCTCAACACAAACTAAACTGCTATTTGTCTTCAGGACGTTTCTAAAGGAACTGGAAGCGTACACTGACTGCCCAGAACTAGTGGGCCGCTGCTTTTTAGAGAGGGTAAGCTACCTTTCCTGATCAATTAAACACTCTTTCAAAGTCAAATCAATTCCATAACTCCATGTCTCTGTGCAGATGAAGGACCTGCAGATCTACGAGGCGTACTGTCAGAATAAACCTCGCTCTGAGAGTTTGTGGAGACAGTGCTCCGACTGTGCCTTCTTCCAGGTATCACCATTCACCTCAAACTGTAACTTCCTTTTCCTGTGGCTTACAAGACCCATACACTCTAAATATCGTCCTTGTTTTTGTGAACCAGGAGTGCCAGAAGAAGCTGGAACATAAACTTGGTTTGGACTCCTACCTCCTTAAACCTGTCCAGAGAATCACCAAGTACCAGCTCCTGCTAAAGGTGAGCTGTCTCCGTGTACTGCTGTAAATCGAAGTGTTTATTTCAGGCTGTAACTGAAGCTTTGTTTGTGTTTACAGGAGTTGTTGAAGTACAGTAAGGGGTGTGATGGCTGTGATGACCTGCAGGAAGCTCTCTCCTCCATCCTGGGGATCCTGAAGGCTGTGAACGACTCCATGCACCTCATCGCCATCACAGGATACGAGGTCAGAGAAATGACTACACCTCAAACCTTACATGAATCTCCCCCGTTCCTCATTAATACTTGCTTTCTTTTCCCTCTCAGGGTAACCTGTCAGATCTGGGTCGTCTGATGATGCAGGGCTCCTTCAGCGTGTGGACGGAGCATAAGAAAGGTCACGCCAAGGTTAAAGATCTGGCCCGGTTTAAGCCCATGCAGCGGCACCTGTTCCTGCACCAGAAGGCCCTGCTGTTCTGCAAGAGGAGGGAGGAGAACGGGGAGGGCTACGAGAAAGCTCCGTCGTACAGCTTCAAACACTCCCTCAGTGTACGCTAACATCAATCTGATTATATTCAATATATTTGTGCCCTGTAGTGAAAGATTAAGACTGACTTTGTGCTTTTATTCAACCCTTTAGATGAGTGCGGTGGGCTTCACAGAGAACGCTAAAGGAGACAACAAGAAGTTTGAGATCTGGTGTAACTCAAGAGATGAAGTTTTTATAGTCCAGGTAAACTCACTCATTCTTGCTGCTTTGATAAATGGAGATTGAACCCTATCAGTTTTTGTAAATGCCGTTTTTTGTTGTTATTCTTCTCGTCCAGGCTCCAACAACAGAGATTAAAACATCGTGGGTGAACGAGATCCGCAAAGTTCTGACGCAGCAGCTCAAAGCCTGCAGAGGTATCGTGAAAACACACAGTCACACACGCCTGTTTGCATTTCTTCTTCTCTGCTTTCTGTAATACATACCTGCTTTCAACTCAAGTCAATGTTTCAGATGCCAGTCAGCAGAAGAGCTCAGACTCCGTGTTCCAGAATCCCGCCAGCAACAACTCCTCCATCTCCCTCAGGTCAGTGTCTCATATGCTGCACACACGTAAGAAGCCTCGTTAAAATGCTGTTTATTCATTTGGACGTCTTCTTTTTCTTTCCCCAGTCCCTTTCGTAGTAGTGGTTCGAAAAGCCAGAAGAAGACAGAGGAGAAGAAGGCGGAGGCGAACACGATGTCCGATTCCTCTTCTTCACCCAAACACAAAGGTGAATGTCTGATATCCTCACACACGGACATGAAAAGAGTTTCATAATTCAACTATGAAATGCTCCTGCAGTGAACTCCCACTGATCTACTTTTCTTCATCACCTTCATCGTCATGGATCCTCTTTCTGTCTCTCTACCTCTTTTGTTTATTTTTTTATCGGCTAAATGTATGAATTTTTCAATGTTTGCAACACACTCTCTTTTCGTTTCCTCCCGCTCTCCATTTCAAACCATCGTTTCCAGATGACCCAGTGACCAGTCCCACCACTGACAGGTCTGCAGTGGCTAGAAAGCGTTTTACTTTGCAGGGCTTCAGCACTCTCAAGAGTCCCAAAGGTAACGTCAGTGGACTTTAGGAGGTTTTCAAACAGGCACACAAGGCTTAGACTCATTCTTGCATTATTTCATTGATGAATACATTTTTTAAATCAGAAGCGCTAAAAGAACAACCTCAAATTTAAGAAAATAAGTATAGATGGTCCTTTCCCTACAAACAAAGTAGTTATCATACGTTCTATATTTAATACGCTACATATACTGCTGTGTTATTAATTTAAAATCAATGATTGCCCTCTGTCTGATCTTATTTAGAGCAGCACATGTGTCTGTGAGGTGATCCTAGTATGTTGTAGACACTCTGCCCTCTCGTGGTAAAGTCTAACATTGCCACAGCTCTAGATACATGATATAATAATTAAAAAGGTCAGGGTTAGTCTTGCTTTCCGGCGGATCGATTTCTCACCTTTCTCTCCTTCTCCTTCTTCTTCTTCTTCTTCTTCTTCTTCTTCTTCCCTGTCTTTATTTTCTCTGCCTGTGTGGCCAGGCTCGGCCATGAGCCCCGAGCACGGCTCCAAACGCCACTTGGTCAAGAGTGACCCCACACCGTTTGGGTTTAAAGGTATATTGTTGTCCCATAATCGGAGCCCATTTAATACTAGAGGCCATCGTTCATCCTCCCATCCCTCACCTCTGAAGCGTGCTCCACTCTGTGTGTTCTCATTATGTAGATTTCATCTGTGTCTCACATAGAAGGAAACTCATCAAGCAGTAGAAGCTGTTCGTCATACCATCACCCTTCATTTACCATGACAGCATTGTACATGTGTGGAGAGAGAAATGTGTTGCATTAAAACAGACTATCTGCAGGTCTTAAAAGTGCTAATCCCAGTTGTATTTCATTTGCACTAATCCAGTACAATATGTTACTGTTTTGCACAAATGTACACCACTGAAATATCTCCACATTTCTTTCTTTGGCTTTCTGAAACCTGCAGATGCTCTGTGACAAACATATATATTTTCTTTCACAGGTCATTATCATCATCACTGAATTATTAGTCTTGTACCTTTTTCTCATCAGGGTCACTTTAACAAATGGCAGTGGATGAATGGTTTACTAACATATAAGAGGGTGGAGTCCCTTTCTCCTGGTGTCTCACCCAGCAGTCTCACTGTCTCGCTGGCTGTTTGTCTCCGTCTAGAGCCGGGTCCTCATGTCTCTCTGAGCAGAGTCAGATGGATGAGTGCCTCTAGTCTGTTACAGAGCAAGCGGCGAGGTACAGATCGCTCTGAGGATCAGCCACTGTAGGTGTTTGCCGTGGTTTGGGGTGATGATGATTGATTTTGAATAGAGGTAAAGTGTCGCAAAATATCCACGTTTCCTTTCATTTAGCCTTCCATTGAATCTTATGATCTTCCATTTGGCATTATATACATTTTTAAATCTACTTTTCGGTGTGAAATATACGATTTTAAGACTCAATTCAGTGCTAAATGTATTTTTGCAAATATTACTCTACCTCAAATCAATCACTCTCTCTTCTTCTACTATTGGGTGTTCTGGGTTAGTGGTTGTGTGGCGTTGATTAAATAATGAGACTTACTTTTCAGCACTGGCAGTCAGAGCAGCCGTTAAATTATGAGGTGATTAAAATCATGCCTTTTTTAGGATCGTGATACTTTGATTCGATTTTTACTGGGATCTACCTGCTGTCTCCGCTGATCTTCTCTGGGCTGTGTGTGTGTGTGTGTGTGTAATGATTTGTCAGAAAAACCTCTAAATCTGGATAATTTTGCATGTTTTTGAGTCATCTGATTAGTGACCCAAGAAGCATTTTCATGCCACATGAAGTTAGTGTGTGTGTGTGTGTGTGATACCGATTCATCCAATCACTTCTCATTATCCCACCTCCTCTGCCTGTAAATCTGCTGACCTGTGTTCCCGTTCACAGGCTGGAACAAGGCGTCTCTCTCGGTGGACGCCTCAGAAGAGAATGATGGGTACTCCAGCAGCGAGGACCCCATGAACTCTGACCCCGAGGACGACGTAGGGAAGAAGCTGGTGAGCCTGAACACATTTAAATACAGCATGTGGTGTCTTTTTTTCTAATACTTTTCGGATGTTTGCCACCTCTAACTGACTCTCTTTTACCCTTTAGGCTCCAGGAAAGTATACAGTGTTTGCAGACTGCGAGAAGGCGGGACCTCAAGAGCTGTCAGTCAAGAGTGGAGACATGGTGCAGCTGATCAGAGAAGGAGAGGAGGAACAGTGGTAAACTTCTTTGGCTTTATTTTGGTATTTCTCTGAAGGCCTTGATGTGGAATAATGCCAACAAAAGGACGCTGTATGATCATATATTTACATTCCCTTTGTGTTCGATCCTCTGCAGGTTTGTGAAGAACCTCCGCAGCAGTAAGGAGGGCTGGGTCGCTGCAGCAAACCTCCTCAGCCTCATCTCAGAGTCGAAGTCCTCTCAGTCGCTCAGCAGCTCAGGTATGTTCCCTGCTTGATTAGCTCGTTGGACACTGAGTCATGCTGCGTTCCTGCCCACATCTCAGATTCCTCTTGTGTGTTTGTCCAGCAGATGGCAGCGTCTCTGGGAACATCAGCACTTCCTCCAGCTGCAGCGAGACATACACCAGCTTCTCCGACATCAAACCCTGACCTGGATCCATCACAGAACAATGTCCATGTGGATTTACAACAAAAAGCCCTAAAGCAGACCCTGACAGGAGGACGAATCAAATCACAGAGACCATCCACGTCACAGTTTGAGGATCCATCTATAAATCAATCATCTCTGAATCTGCGGATGTTGCCAGTGTTTTAGCTGAGTCATCAACACCCCTCTTTCTTACAGTATTACTTTCTCATTTTAGATTATTTCACCTTTAAAGTTATTAACATGTAAGGTATGTTCACAGTGGCAGATACTTGGAATAACATCAGGGAGAAGTAGTTTCACATCATACAGTCACGTCAGGCCTTCTTTATAAAAATAACATCACTGTAAACTACAGATAAAAGTCTTCAGTCTATTATTTAACCCATTTGGTTATGTAGCATTAAAGTGGGCACATTTAAAAATATCTGCGCTACAATGAACTCCTTCAACATCACAGCATAGCGATAGATTCTTGTGTCAAACAGCGACAGGAATAGATGCTATCAGACCGGCCTTTCACACCATGCTTTAGTGTCAGACATTAATCGCACACTGTGAAAACTGGCAGCTGGCTGCAACAAGAAAAAGCTTTCGGTGCATCGTGGAGCAGGTCACACCTTCAGGCCGTCTTACTGGAAGTCTGGTCACCTCTTTGTACGTAAGGTCATAATGTCTGGCGGGCAAACGGTGTCAAATATTCAAGAATGCTGTATTCCCCCCATGTCGTCGATAAGAGCTTCCCTGGTTTCACCGTATTAACTTATATAATTCATCACTTGGTGAATGTCACCCACAGCGCCACCCGGTGGGCAGATGTCATGCAGCTACACATGAAATCACTTAACAGAGCGGCAGCTTGGAACAACTTTTAAAACCTCTTTTCTTTTTCCAAGAGTGATTGTCTAACTGGGTTCTGCACTGCTCTGGGTTTACCTCTCAGGAAGGTGTGTGGGCAGGCAGGTGTGACTGCATACCTGTGTGTCTACCACATGTCTTTGTGTGTGAGTGTGTGTGCATTCAACTCCAACTGGCTATTTAGCCGCAGACAGCAGCTGGATCAGAGCTACATATTAGGATATTTCAGCTCAATTACTCATGCTTTTACCTGCTGGGTTAGTTTCTCATTGGGAAAAGTTAATTAATAACCATTTTAGGGACTACTTGGACAGAAAAGTCTCAATACTCTGCACACAAATCCAGTTTGTGTGTCATGGCCTATCTTTGGTTTGCACTGCAGCAACAAAAGCAGCTTTGTCCCTCCCTCTGCTCCCAGCCCCGTTCAGGCATGTGACAGCAGCCACCTCTCCTCAAGCAGGGCTAACCCGGAGACTTTTCTCAATGTGTTTGCACCACAGGCCCTGCAGCGAAATGTGTTGTGATGATGTAGCAAGGCAATTGCATAACAAGGTGCATCAAGTTTTTGACGTTTTGAGTAGGCTAATATGGCACTGTAGTGGGAACCAGGATACAGGTTGATGACACATCTCTGACAACCAGCTGCTGTGACACACACACACACACACACACACGTGCACGCGCACACACACACACACACACACACACACACTCAAAGAACCTGTGCTATTCTGAACATTGAATGACACCTTTTTTCTTACGTGGTTTTTCAAAGGTGTTTTTGATACCCCTAGATTTCTACTGTATCCACGAGGCGCACTGTAAAACTCTTCCTTTTTCCATTTTTAATGTCGAATGTGTGACTGTTGTTAAAAACAGAAAAGGTGCAGCATGCTGTTACACTAAAAACCAGCCCCGCCCGTTTATTACTTAATAAATGGGTTGTATTTGTCCATCACTGTGGTTTTGTTCAATTCGACCCTGATTTGAGCTTTTTGCTGAAAACCACTTTTATACGCATGTCCTCCCTGTGAAAGGAACGATTTTTCTCCAGAAAAAGGAAGCTTAATTATAAACCAGAGAGTAAACTGAGGCTGGCATTGTGTGTGGATCCATGTCAGAGTGGGAAATGTACTTTACACTTGTACAGATGTGTCCTCTATACCTCACATTGTTTCCCTCGAGAGCATGTACATTGTGAAGCGGATCATGAGTCTGTGCATCATCTCTCTTTGTGGCATGATCTTCATACTCCTGTCGCTTCAAAGCCCTGAACAAGGCAAGTATTTTTTACCAGGCACTGTTGTATTCTGTGAGAGTTTATTTTCTGCCCTCATAAAGCTGACACGGGCACTAAACTTGTCAGCGTTCTATCATGATCACTCAATAAGTTATTGAATAATTTGTACTTTTTGACTCGGAGGCCGGGGAGACGAGAAGGGTTCTATTTTTTTGTTTCTTTTTATGCAGCACATTGCAGCAACCACTGTCTTTATTTTCCTATTGTATCTACTGAGTATGGTGTTGATATAAATATATTATAATGAGATATATCCGTGTATATTTGTAAATATGTAATTCTGAATTGTATGTAAAATGAACAGCAGCTTTAATAAAGTCTGAGATGGTTTCCTCTATTTTATTTGCATCTTTTCATGGGAATGTAGGCTCTGAAAGCAGCATTACTCAGCTCTTTTTTTAATTAAATAAACATTTTATGAATGTTTACAAGTTTAATATCCACCATAAAAATATGGATAAATTGCCAATATTATGAATTATGCATTTTGATTCAGAAGAGTAGGTTTAACCACGTGGTTAATAACCTCCAATGGGCTTTTCCCAGTTTAGACTGTTACCATTTGGATTGGGGTGCGTTCCAATATACCACCCGACCGTCAGGCTCTTTTTTCCTTCATTTACTCCTCTCACTAGAGCAGGGGTGGGCAATTATTTTTTACAAGGGGCCACTTCAGAAACTCGAGCTGTGTTGGGGGGCCGAATCAAAAATAAGTTGAACTTAATTCTGCTCAATATACCAATACTGAAAAGGTGTTTTACAGTATGTTAAAGATAAGAAATGAATGAGTGCTTTTGATTTTTGTTTTTCAGTTAATTTGACTTGTTCAGTGAGAAAAATCCAGTCTGTCTTGGGCTTGAACAAGTGCACGGAAATCTGGTTCAATGTCTGAGGTGGATATGCGAAGGACAGCTGAGAGGTGATCATCAGTGATAGAGGATCTGTATCTGGATTTGTTGAACTTCATCACTGAGAATGTCTGTTCACATATGTAGGTAGATCCAAAGAGGACCATCATCTTCTGAGCACGTCTCCTGATGTGTGGAAAGTTCTCCTCTTTCAGGGAAGAGTAAAACTCAGGCAGTGAGACTGACCTAAAGTGCTCTGACTGAAGTGTGTCAGACTGCAGGTCAATGAGTTCAAGCTGAACATCACTGGGTGCATCATCCACATGGCATGTAAATGGGGAAAATATCCTGTTCATTTCATTCTCAACTGTTTTGAAGTCTTTAAATCGCCTTGAAAACTCACCATGCAGTGCTTCTAACATGGATGAGTACCTCTGGAGGTGATCAGCTGATGGTGTGGCTTCCTTCAGTGTTGGCAAGTGCGTGAGAATGTTGTCCTCCATTTGGCTTGAGAGAAGCTGCAGCTTTCTCATGAAAGCCTTCACTGCACTGTACATGTCATGCACAAAAAGGCCCTTGCCTTGCAGTTTGACATTTAGTTCACTCATTAGTGCAGTCACATCTACAGCAAAACCAAGGTCTGCCATCCAGTCTGCATCTGAAAGCTGTGGGATGTCGTTTCCTTTCTTCACACAGAAGTCTTGAATCTCTTCTCTCAGGTCCCCTACTCTTTTCAGCACTTTGCCCAGGCTGAGCCACCTGACAGCTGCATGGTAGGGTATGTCACGATGTTCAGTCTCACTTTCCTCCAAAAGTGCAACAAACTGTCTGTGATTCAATGCTCTTGCCCTGATGAAGTTAACTATTTTAGTTACAACATCAACAACATGGTTAATTTTTAACACTGACTTACACAACACTTCCTGATGTATAATACAATGCAAAAATACCTATTTCTGCTCAGGGTTAATTTCTGTCACTTTATCCTGCATTCTCTTCAATAGTCCAACATTTTTCCCTGTCAGATTTGGACAACCATCCGTTGTCACGCCTGTCAGCTTGTCCCATTTCAGTCCCAACTTTTCCACACATGCATTTACCTCCGTGAACAAATCACTCCCTGTTGTTGTACCTTTCATTGACTGCATGGCTGCCAGCTCCTCCGTGATTTTGAAGTCTGTAGTTATCCCACGTAGGAAGATGAGTAGCTGGGCAGTGTCACGTACATCGCAGCTCTCATCCAAAGCCAAGGAAAAAAAGTCAAAGTTGACCGCTCTGTTCTGCAGCTGAAGCTCCAGATTTCCCGCGATGTCCTCAATTCTCCTCGTAACAGTGCGTCGGGAGAGCGGCACTTTCTCAAATGCCTCCTTTTTCTCCGGGCATATTAGTGTCCAACAAACACTCCTTAATGAACTCTTCGTCCGAAAACGGTTAACTTTTAAGACATAACTCGTCTTGACAGCTGCATCTCTGGATGTGGAATGTTTTGTGAAAATGTGTTGTTGGCTTTGCAGCTTAGCTAGCAAAGCATCCGACCCCTTTGCCCGCTCTTCCTCAGACAGGTTCTTGTATTTATCTGCGTGTTTGGTAGCATAGTGGCGACTCAAATTGTACTCCTTGAACACAGCGACCTGCGCACCACAAACTAAACACACAGCTTTACCTTTCACTTCTGTAAATAAATACTTAGCGGTCCATGTCTTGTTGAAAATGCGGCATTCAGTATCGATCTTTCTTTTTTTTCCCTTAGCGGACATTTCGAGGACTAGCCGGCCAGCATCACTCGTAGCTGTTACGGCATAAGCGTTTACGTAAATAAATAAAAAAAACAGCAGCTTCCTTTTCAAAATAAAAGCAACACAGTTAGAAAAGTATTTACGCCATGCAAGCAATACAGCTGTGTTGCTTTTATTTTGAAAAGGTTGCTGTTTTTTTTCATTTTGTTGTAATTTATGATCAACCTCACACGGAAGGAAGACTTATATTTTAAAACTCTGCTCTTCTAATGGCTAATTGTTTTGTCCCTTTCCTTCAGATCAACAGAGAAAAGAGAGGAGATACTCGGCTGATAATGCCATCTGTAAAAGGGTAAATATTTAATATATTTGTCTTAGTTTTGGATCATCCATTAGAGGTAATTGTTGTTTTAAAAAGATCAAAAGATGTTTGGGCAGAACCATATTAATACATGTGTGTGTGTGTCCAGGTGGAGTCTCCCATACATAACGGTGGCACTAGACATGTGTCTCTCTCAGAAGAAGAGGAAAACCTGGCAGTACTTCGGCGGTAAGGGTCTAAGGGCGGAAAGAGAGGAATCAAACATACATTCATTGATTTATATATAAATAAAATAGTAGTAAAAATCAACTGTTAAGAAAACAACTAAGTTTTTATTGTGTATTTCTGTGTTGTAGCCACGTGATGAATGAGCTTCTGGAGACGGAGAGAGCTTATGTGGAGGAGCTGCTGTGCGTGCTGGAGGTGAGTGTTTGTCACGTCACTTCAGTACATGCATATATCCTAAATATCAGCAAATCCATTGACCTAACGTATGTGACATTTAACTCCAGGGCTATGCAGCGGAGATGGAGAACCCAGCCATGGCTCACCTCATCCCCAGCACCCTGCTGAGCAAGAGGGTCGTTCTGTTTGGAAACATGTCTGAAATCTACCAGTTTCATAAGAGGTGCGCTTTCCCCCAGTCTTTATGCTAAGCTAATATGAAAGTGGGATCAATCTAACTCCCTGCAAGAAAGTGAATAGAAATAAATCTCAACACAAACTAAACTGCTATTTGTCTTCAGGACGTTTCTAAAGGAACTGGAAGCGTACACTGACTGCCCAGAACTAGTGGGCCGCTGCTTTTTAGAGAGGGTAAGCTACCTTTCCTGATCAATTAAACACTCTTTCAAAGTCAAATCAATTCCATAACTCCATGTCTCTGTGCAGATGAAGGACCTGCAGATCTACGAGGCGTACTGTCAGAATAAACCTCGCTCTGAGAGTTTGTGGAGACAGTGCTCCGACTGTGCCTTCTTCCAGGTATCACCATTCACCTCAAACTGTAACTTCCTTTTCCTGTGGCTTACAAGACCCATACACTCTAAATATCGTCCTTGTTTTTGTGAACCAGGAGTGCCAGAAGAAGCTGGAACATAAACTTGGTTTGGACTCCTACCTCCTTAAACCTGTCCAGAGAATCACCAAGTACCAGCTCCTGCTAAAGGTGAGCTGTCTCCGTGTACTGCTGTAAATCGAAGTGTTTATTTCAGGCTGTAACTGAAGCTTTGTTTGTGTTTACAGGAGTTGTTGAAGTACAGTAAGGGGTGTGATGGCTGTGATGACCTGCAGGAAGCTCTCTCCTCCATCCTGGGGATCCTGAAGGCTGTGAACGACTCCATGCACCTCATCGCCATCACAGGATACGAGGTCAGAGAAATGACTACACCTCAAACCTTACATGAATCTCCCCCGTTCCTCATTAATACTTGCTTTCTTTTCCCTCTCAGGGTAACCTGTCAGATCTGGGTCGTCTGATGATGCAGGGCTCCTTCAGCGTGTGGACGGAGCATAAGAAAGGTCACGCCAAGGTTAAAGATCTGGCCCGGTTTAAGCCCATGCAGCGGCACCTGTTCCTGCACCAGAAGGCCCTGCTGTTCTGCAAGAGGAGGGAGGAGAACGGGGAGGGCTACGAGAAAGCTCCGTCGTACAGCTTCAAACACTCCCTCAGTGTACGCTAACATCAATCTGATTATATTCAATATATTTGTGCCCTGTAGTGAAAGATTAAGACTGACTTTGTGCTTTTATTCAACCCTTTAGATCAGGGGTGGGCAATTATTTTTTACAAGGGGCCACTTCAGAAACTCGAGCTGTGTTGGGGGGCCGAATCAAAAATAAGTTGAACTTAATTCTGCTCAATATACCAATACTGAAAAGGTGTTTTACAGTATGTTAAAGATAAGAAATGAATGAGTGCTTTTGATTTTTGTTTTTCAGTTCATTTGACTTGTTCAGTGAGAAAAATCCAGTCTGTCTTGGGCTTGAACAAGTGCACGGAAATCTGGTTCAATGTCTGAGGTGGATATGCGAAGGACAGCTGAGAGGTGATCATCAGTGATAGAGGATCTGTATCTGGATTTGTTGAACTTCATCACTGAGAATGTCTGTTCACATATGTAGGTAGATCCAAAGAGGACCATCATCTTCTGAGCACGTCTCCTGATGTGTGGAAAGTTCTCCTCTTTCAGGGAAGAGTAAAACTCAGGCAGTGAGACTGACCTAAAGTGCTCTGACAGAAGTGTGTCAGACTGCAGGTCAATGAGTTCAAGCTGAACATCACTGGGTGCATCATCCACATGGCATGTAAATGGGGAAAAGATCATGTTCATTTCATTCTCAACTGTTTTGAAGTCTTTAAATCGCCTTGAAAACTCACCATGCAGTGCTTCTAACATGGATGAGTACCTCTGGAGGTGATCAGCTGATGGTGTGGCTTCCTTCAGTGTTGGCAAGTGCGTGAGAATGTTGTCCTCCATTTGGCTTGAGAGAAGCTGCAGCTTTCTCATGAAAGCCTTCACTGCACTGTACATGTCATGCACAAAAAGGCCCTTGCCTTGCAGTTTGACATTTAGTTCACTCATTAGTGCAGTCACATCTACAGCAAAACCAAGGTCTGCCATCCAGTCTGCATCTGAAAGCTGTGGGATGTCGTTTCCTTTCTTCACACAGAAGTCTTGAATCTCTTCTCTCAGGTCCCCTACTCTTTTCAGCACTTTGCCCAGGCTGAGCCACCTGACAGCTGCATGGTAGGGTATGTCACGATGTTCAGTCTCACTTTCCTCCAAAAGTGCAACAAACTGTCTGTGATTCAATGCTCTTGCCCTGATGAAGTTAACTATTTTAGTTACAACATCAACAACATGGTTAATTTTTAACACTGACTTACACAACACTTCCTGATGTATAATACAATGCAAAAATACCTATTTCTGCTCAGGGTTAATTTCTGTCACTTTATCCTGCATTCTCTTCAATAGTCCAACATTTTTCCCTGTCAGATTTGGACAACCATCCGTTGTCACGCCTGTCAGCTTGTCCCATTTCAGTCCCAACTTTTCCACACATGCATTTACCTCCGTGAACAAATCACTCCCTGTTGTTGTACCTTTCATTGACTGCATGGCTGCCAGCTCCTCCGTGATTTTGAAGTCTGTAGTTATCCCACGTAGGAAGATGAGTAGCTGGGCAGTGTCACGTACATCGCAGCTCTCATCCAAAGCCAAGGAAAAAAAGTCAAAGTTGACCGCTCTGTTCTGCAGCTGAAGCTCCAGATTTCCCGCGATGTCCTCAATTCTCCTCGTAACAGTGCGTCGGGAGAGCGGCACTTTCTCAAATGCCTCCTTTTTCTCCGGGCATATTAGTGTCCAACAAACACTCCTTAATGAACTCTTCGTCCGAAAACGGTTAACTTTTAAGACATAACTCGTCTTGACAGCTGCATCTCTGGATGTGGAATGTTTTGTGAAAATGTGTTGTTGGCTTTGCAGCTTAGCTAGCAAAGCATCCGACCCCTTTGCCCGCTCTTCCTCAGACAGGTTCTTGTATTTATCTGCGTGTTTGGTAGCATAGTGGCGACTCAAATTGTACTCCTTGAACACAGCGACCTGCGCACCACAAACTAAACACACAGCTTTACCTTTCACTTCTGTAAATAAATACTTAGCGGCAGTGGCGAGCCGTGAGCTTTATACCTAGGCCCTCTGACCCCCACCCCTTCCCTCGAAAAAAAGACGTTATTACGTCACAGCGTATACTTCAGCGGAATATCAAAACAACGGCCCAGGGTGCAAAACGCATCAATGACAGCGACCCTCTACCACACAAAACAACACCTGTGAACCCAATTTGTGTTCTTTGACATTGAAAATGATATTGCATTGTGTTTGTTACTTTCATTGCAGTTGTATGTCTTAAGTGTAATTTGGCATGCTTTTATTTTGAAGGCGAGTTCACGCTGTTGACAGGAAGTTGTTGTTGCTATGGAAACAAGAACAGTTTCACAGCGGGCGGAACTCGTCATAAAGTCCGCGATAATAAAACCCACCCATTTAGAGGGAAGATATGATTGGTCAATTGTACTGTCATTTGACATTACTCTCTCGTTCAGTTACTATAGCGGGCCCTCTGTGAATCGCAGAGAGGCCCGCTATAGTAACTGACATTCAAACAGAGACTGAACAGGCAGATTCGAAGGATTTATTTCTTTGGAAATGTTATTTTATTAAATCAAGTTTTTTTTCGGTAAAACTAATGAAAAATATAACAAAAATAATATTAAAAAAATATATATTTTAAAAAAATATATATTTTTTTAATGTTTTTAAATATTATTTTTTGGAATATCTTAGGCCCTCACAGAGGGCCTAGAGGGCCCTGACGGCTCGCCACTGCTTAGCGGTCCATGTCTTGTTGAAAATGCGGCATTCAGTATCGATCTTTCTTTTTTTTCCCTTAGCGGACATTTCGAGGACTAGCCGGCCAGCATCACTCGTAGCTGTTACGGCATAAGCGTTTACGTAAATAAATAAAAAAAACAGCAGCTTCCTTTTCAAAATAAAAGCAACACAGTTAGAAAAGTATTTACGCCATGCAAGCAATACAGCTGTGTTGCTTTTATTTTGAAAAGGTTGCTGTTTTTTTTTCATTTTGTTGTAATTTATGATCAACCTCACACGGAAGGAAGACTTATATTTTAAAACTCTGCTCTTCTAATGGCTAATTGTTTTGTCCCTTTCCTTCAGATCAACAGAGAAAAGAGAGGAGATACTCGGCTGATAATGCCATCTGTAAAAGGGTAAATATTTAATATATTTGTCTTAGTTTTGGATCATCCATTAGAGGTAATTGTTGTTTTAAAAAGATCAAAAGATGTTTGGGCAGAACCATATTAATACATGTGTGTGCGTGTCCAGGTGGAGTCTCCCATACATAACGGTGGCACTAGACATGTGTCTCTCTCAGAAGAAGAGGAAAACCTGGCAGTACTTCGGCGGTAAGGGTCTAAGGGCGGAAAGAGAGGAATCAAACATACATTCATTGATTTATATATAAATAAAATAGTAGTAAAAATCAACTGTTAAGAAAACAACTAAGTTTTTATTGTGTATTTCTGTGTTGTAGCCACGTGATGAATGAGCTTCTGGAGACGGAGAGAGCTTATGTGGAGGAGCTGCTGTGCGTGCTGGAGGTGAGTGTTTGTCACGTCACTTCAGTACATGCATATATCCTAAATATCAGCAAATCCATTGACCTAACGTATGTGACATTTAACTCCAGGGCTATGCAGCGGAGATGGAGAACCCAGCCATGGCTCACCTCATCCCCAGCACCCTGCTGAGCAAGAGGGTCGTTCTGTTTGGAAACATGTCTGAAATCTACCAGTTTCATAAGAGGTGCGCTTTCCCCCAGTCTTTATGCTAAGCTAATATGAAAGTGGGATCAATCTAACTCCCTGCAAGAAAGTGAATAGAAATAAATCTCAACACAAACTAAACTGCTATTTGTCTTCAGGACGTTTCTAAAGGAACTGGAAGCGTACACTGACTGCCCAGAACTAGTGGGCCGCTGCTTTTTAGAGAGGGTAAGCTACCTTTCCTGATCAATTAAACACTCTTTCAAAGTCAAATCAATTCCATAACTCCATGTCTCTGTGCAGATGAAGGACCTGCAGATCTACGAGGCGTACTGTCAGAATAAACCTCGCTCTGAGAGTTTGTGGAGACAGTGCTCCGACTGTGCCTTCTTCCAGGTATCACCATTCACCTCAAACTGTAACTTCCTTTTCCTGTGGCTTACAAGACCCATACACTCTAAATATCGTCCTTGTTTTTGTGAACCAGGAGTGCCAGAAGAAGCTGGAACATAAACTTGGTTTGGACTCCTACCTCCTTAAACCTGTCCAGAGAATCACCAAGTACCAGCTCCTGCTAAAGGTGAGCTGTCTCCGTGTACTGCTGTAAATCGAAGTGTTTATTTCAGGCTGTAACTGAAGCTTTGTTTGTGTTTACAGGAGTTGTTGAAGTACAGTAAGGGGTGTGATGGCTGTGATGACCTGCAGGAAGCTCTCTCCTCCATCCTGGGGATCCTGAAGGCTGTGAACGACTCCATGCACCTCATCGCCATCACAGGATACGAGGTCAGAGAAATGACTACACCTCAAACCTTACATGAATCTCCCCCGTTCCTCATTAATACTTGCTTTCTTTTCCCTCTCAGGGTAACCTGTCAGATCTGGGTCGTCTGATGATGCAGGGCTCCTTCAGCGTGTGGACGGAGCATAAGAAAGGTCACGCCAAGGTTAAAGATCTGGCCCGGTTTAAGCCCATGCAGCGGCACCTGTTCCTGCACCAGAAGGCCCTGCTGTTCTGCAAGAGGAGGGAGGAGAACGGGGAGGGCTACGAGAAAGCTCCGTCGTACAGCTTCAAACACTCCCTCAGTGTACGCTAACATCAATCTGATTATATTCAATATATTTGTGCCCTGTAGTGAAAGATTAAGACTGACTTTGTGCTTTTATTCAACCCTTTAGATCAGGGGTGGGCAATTATTTTTTACAAGGGGCCACTTCAGAAACTCGAGCTGTGTTGGGGGGCCGAATCAAAAATAAGTTGAACTTAATTCTGCTCAATATACCAATACTGAAAAGGTGTTTTACAGTATGTTAAAGATAAGAAATGAATGAGTGCTTTTGATTTTTGTTTTTCAGTTAATTTGACTTGTTCAGTGAGAAAAATCCAGTCTGTCTTGGGCTTGAACAAGTGCACGGAAATCTGGTTCAATGTCTGAGGTGGATATGCGAAGGACAGCTGAGAGGTGATCATCAGTGATAGAGGATCTGTATCTGGATTTGTTGAACTTCATCACTGAGAATGTCTGTTCACATATGTAGGTAGATCCAAAGAGGACCATCATCTTCTGAGCACGTCTCCTGATGTGTGGAAAGTTCTCCTCTTTCAGGGAAGAGTAAAACTCAGGCAGTGAGACTGACCTAAAGTGCTCTGACAGAAGTGTGTCAGACTGCAGGTCAATGAGTTCAAGCTGAACATCACTGGGTGCATCATCCACATGGCATGTAAATGGGGAAAAGATCATGTTCATTTCATTCTCAACTGTTTTGAAGTCTTTAAATCGCCTTGAAAACTCACCATGCAGTGCTTCTAACATGGATGAGTACCTCTGGAGGTGATCAGCTGATGGTGTGGCTTCCTTCAGTGTTGGCAAGTGCGTGAGAATGTTGTCCTCCATTTGGCTTGAGAGAAGCTGCAGCTTTCTCATGAAAGCCTTCACTGCACTGTACATGTCATGCACAAAAAGGCCCTTGCCTTGCAGTTTGACATTTAGTTCACTCATTAGTGCAGTCACATCTACAGCAAAACCAAGGTCTGCCATCCAGTCTGCATCTGAAAGCTGTGGGATGTCGTTTCCTTTCTTCACACAGAAGTCTTGAATCTCTTCTCTCAGGTCCCATACTCTTTTCAGCACTTTGCCCAGGCTGAGCCACCTGACAGCTGCATGGTAGGGTATGTCACGATGTTCAGTCTCACTTTCCTCCAAAAGTGCAACAAACTGTCTGTGATTCAATGCTCTTGCCCTGATGAAGTTAACTATTTTAGTTACAACATCAACAACATGGTTAATTTTTAACACTGACTTACACAACACTTCCTGATGTATAATACAATGCAAAAATACCTATTTCTGCTCAGGGTTAATTTCTGTCACTTTATCCTGCATTCTCTTCAATAGTCCAACATTTTTCCCTGTCAGATTTGGACAACCATCCGTTGTCACGCCTGTCAGCTTGTCCCATTTCAGTCCCAACTTTTCCACACATGCATTTACCTCCGTGAACAAATCACTCCCTGTTGTTGTACCTTTCATTGACTGCATGGCTGCCAGCTCCTCCGTGATTTTGAAGTCTGTAGTTATCCCACGTAGGAAGATGAGTAGCTGGGCAGTGTCACGTACATCGCAGCTCTCATCCAAAGCCAAGGAAAAAAAGTCAAAGTTGACCGCTCTGTTCTGCAGCTGAAGCTCCAGATTTCCCGCGATGTCCTCAATTCTCCTCGTAACAGTGCGTCGGGAGAGCGGCACTTTCTCAAATGCCTCCTTTTTCTCCGGGCATATTAGTGTCCAACAAACACTCCTTAATGAACTCTTCGTCCGAAAACGGTTAACTTTTAAGACATAACTCGTCTTGACAGCTGCATCTCTGGATGTGGAATGTTTTGTGAAAATGTGTTGTTGGCTTTGCAGCTTAGCTAGCAAAGCATCCGACCCCTTTGCCCGCTCTTCCTCAGACAGGTTCTTGTATTTATCTGCGTGTTTGGTAGCATAGTGGCGACTCAAATTGTACTCCTTGAACACAGCGACCTGCGCACCACAAACTAAACACACAGCTTTACCTTTCACTTCTGTAAATAAATACTTAGCGGCAGTGGCGAGCCGTGAGCTTTATACCTAGGCCCTCTGACCCCCACCCCTTCCCTCGAAAAAAAGACGTTATTACGTCACAGCGTATACTTCAGCGGAATATCAAAACAACGGCCCAGGGTGCAAAACGCATCAATGACAGCGACCCTCTACCACACAAAACAACACCTGTGAACCCAATTTGTGTTCTTTGACATTGAAAATGATATTGCATTGTGTTTGTTACTTTCATTGCAGTTGTATGTCTTAAGTGTAATTTGGCATGCTTTTATTTTGAAGGCGAGTTCACGCTGTTGACAGGAAGTTGTTGTTGCTATGGAAACAAGAACAGTTTCACAGCGGGCGGAACTCGTCATAAAGTCCGCGATAATAAAACCCACCCATTTAGAGGGAAGATATGATTGGTCAATTGTACTGTCATTTGACATTACTCTCTCGTTCAGTTACTATAGCGGGCCCTCTGTGAATCGCAGAGAGGCCCGCTATAGTAACTGACATTCAAACAGAGACTGAACAGGCAGATTCGAAGGATTTATTTCTTTGGAAATGTTATTTTATTAAATCAAGTTTTTTTTTCGGTAAAACTAATGAAAAATATAACAAAAATAATATTAAAAAAATATATATTTTAAAAAAATATATATTTTTTTAATGTTTTTAAATATTATTTTTTGGAATATCTTAGGCCCTCACAGAGGGCCTAGAGGGCCCTGACGGCTCGCCACTGCTTAGCGGTCCATGTCTTGTTGAAAATGCGGCATTCAGTATCGATCTTTCTTTTTTTTCCCTTAGCGGACATTTCGAGGACTAGCCGGCCAGCATCACTCGTAGCTGTTACGGCATAAGCGTTTACGTAAATAAATAAAAAAAACAGCAGCTTCCTTTTCAAAATAAAAGCAACACAGTTAGAAAGGTATTTACGCCATGCAAGCAATACAGCTGTGTTGCTTTTATTTTGAAAAGGTTGCTGTTTTTTTTCATTTTGTTGTAATTTATGATCAACCTCACACGGGCCGGCCAAGGCCGGCCAACGGGCCGGATGTGGCCCGCGGGCCGTAAAATGCCCACCCCTGCACTAGAGCATAACAAGTACATTATGTCTGACAAGATATAAAGAGTTCATAGAAAATCAATCAAGTGGAATTTTGGGGGGTTTAAATGTAATATATGATACCATTATTTGCAGTAAATTGGGTCGAGGATCTTGATGTGAGAGAATGTGAACGAGACCAAGCCGTGGCTGGAAAGATACAGATGCGTAAAGTTGGCATGCGGGAGACGCACTAATACCGGAAGTGACGCGATTTCCACAATAAAACAAACGTATCTGTGCGACAGAATAATAACACGGTAATAGTGAAATTATTAATTTAATTCGTTCGTTTAGGAAGTATTTGGATTATTAGTAAATCTGTGTTTCATATTTATACTTTCAATTTCCTTGATGGTTCCATTTTTTTAATAAAACGACGGTTCACGTAGTTTTTATTGTGAAAGTGCATACCGGAAGTGAGTAATTGTATTCCCGCTAGCTTGACAGACTACTGGAAAGCGACCAGATGGAATTCAGCACTGGCTTCTTAACAGATTCCGCACATTTTAAATTGTATCGCACACATTTTTTAGCGGACTTTCTTGGCATTTGACAAGCCCTGGCGTGACTACAAGGGCCTGTGAAGCGGGGACAGAAGAAGACATTTAAAGACCCAACATCTTCCCACTGTAGGTATCATTTCTAGCCCATAATAATGTCGAAGAGAGAGGGGTGTAGCCTTGTTAAATCACGTTGTGTGGGACTGTTTATGCGGCCTAATGTGTCATTTACTGCCTATAGCGTGTATTGCTTTACACACTGTCGTTCACGGGGTCTTTAATTCTCCAGCAGCACATATACAGTGTGTGTTTTTTGTGTTCGCTTTTTTTACCTCCTTGCTATGTTACTTTAGACGACCAGAGTCATGCTGGCAAGAATGAAAACAACGCAGCTTCCGGTCCCATTTTCACAATAAAACGTGTGTTACAATGATCTAGTCCTGATATTATTAGTACATTAATTAATGCATTTCTATCTCATGATTGACCTACATTTTTACAACTATTAAATTGATTAATTGAAGAAATATTTGACAGATTGATCAATATGAATAACTAATAATAAAAGCATCCAGTTGTGATTGTACAGCAGTGTGCATAGTCATATTTTACAGCTCTTTCTGACTTCATTTTTATGTGACTCCAATTATATGTACTAATATTCCTAATGCCTATGCTAGGATTAGATTGTTGATTTGTTCTTTTCTCTTTAAATTCTTATATACACAAAACTGCAGCAACCTAATCTAATGAAGAAACTGTACAGTATATTGACATAGTGAGTTTATTCAGTATAAGCCAGGTCTGTCAGTGTGTGTGTGTGAGCCTACTGTTGAAAGACATGTACTACTGTCACGCCCCGCCATCGTTTATTGCATCACCAATTGCATTTCAGAGGTAATAATCTGATAATATATGACAAGTGGGTTTTCTCTATACCTGTAACTTGCCTTTTGGAGGCATACAAGCTTCTCAAAAGCATCTTTTACATTTGAGGCGGTCACAAAACCCCTTTGTTCTCCTTTGGAAGTTTAAAAGGAGGATTTTTTTCTCACATCATTATCAATCTCAGGAATGGATGAGCTGATGTTTGTCCTTTTCAGACAGCGTTCCTCTCCGGTTGCCTCGGAGAGAACAATCTCCTTGTGACGTCTACAGAGAACATTTCTTTGTAGCTTGAGATAGATAGATTGTGATGGAGATCAAACACTCAGACCCTCATTGCTCCCTCTCTGACAAGATACAAAACAGGGTTTTTCTAAGACTTAATGAATTTGATTACCTTCGTTCAAGGCTCTTTAAAAGTCAAATTGAAGGTGTTTGATTCAAGAACTGCTCAAAAGCCTTCATTGGACTAAAAAGGTCTTTAATCTGGCTGAGTATTTGAGGGTTAAACATCCTCCTTTCTCTTCCAGTTGTATCATGAAAAGGAAATACTGTCAGTTTAAAAGCCGCCACCTATGTTCTTGTTTGAAAGGTGCATTCATCACATTGTTGAAAGCCTACAGGTTTGCAAGCATGCCTTAAATCTGTAGGTTAAGCAAAATAAACCATGTTGAACCAGGATATTTTAACGTATGCAAGAAAGATAAATGTGAAACCTGTTTTTTAGCATGTGCCGAGACATGACCAGCTTGTATTCACTGCTTCTGACACATTGGCAGACACATAGGTGTGACGGATAACCATCTTGCTTCACTGGGATGACTTGGCGTTAGTCATCAGAGCCGCCCACTGCCAGTGTTACTACATGTTCCTGTGTGTTACCGTCATCTGAAGCGCCACAAAGCACCCTGCTGTGTGACGCTTGATAAGAAGATTGGTATCCATGTGTCACAAGACAGGACAACTTGTTATTTTATTATTTTAGTGGTGGATTTTTAACAGAAAAAACAACTTAAATAGTATTTGTCTAGCTAGAAATGTCTCTGAGTTTTGGGGAATTGCTGTCTTTCTTTGTTGTATGTGACTTTAAACTTTAAATCCTTAGGTATTAGACAGAGCATGTTGAAGTTGTTTATAGTCACGTTTTCACCATTTTATGACATTTTAAACACAAAACAGTTCATCCAAAAACTAAAATACTTAATAGTTGTAGCCCCAGATTTGTCTTTAAGGAAATCATACAGAAGATTATTATCATAAATACTGTTTACAGGAACCTCTCATTGTGACAGCAATTTGAAATCAGAAACCTAAGGTGTCTAAGAGTGGATTTATTCATTTGAACAGATTATAATTTTGGCCATACTGCTTTATTTGTATATCCTTATTTACGTCTCTTATAATTACATCTGAACATGTAATATATTTGGGGCAGTGTGCAGCCTTTTCTCTGCTCGCTGAGTGTTCAGAGGGTTCAGTGGGCACCAGATTAATTCCATTACGTAACATTTAGTCAGTCTTAAGCAGTGGAAATGAAGGCTTCGCAGCAATATAGATCCTTAAGCTCTCCAGGACTTAAAGACGTGTTATCAAACGATTAAACGGACCATTTTAGTACCGTTTTAATCATCAGAATGTTTAACTTCGGCTGCAGCAACACCGAGGGGGAGTTTTAACTTCTGATACTGTAGTTTACAATATGATAAGGTTATAAAGTCCCCCTCTTTTGATAAGTACTTCCTCATTGCCTGCTTATCCTTGGACAAATATTGACTGGGTCTGAGTTATAGGCGTGACGTAACACAATGAGGAAGGGACTAAAGCAGGGGTGTCAAACTCAATTTCATCACGGGCCACATCAGCATTATGGTTGCACTCAAAGGGCCGGTTGTAACTATATAACTATACATATATAAATATATAATATACATAAAATAATGTATTCTATTACATTATTGCCTCTGCATTGGATTATTATCGGATAGGGTAATAACTTCATAATTAACTACGTCTGAAAGCAGAAGTCCAGGGAAAATAATTGCAAGTCTCTTCAGTGCATGTCACAAAATGAGATGCATTGTGGGACATGTAGTTTATGGGCAACCTGCTTCTGTAAAGTGGCATGTAACCGTATAATAAACGTATTATATTCTTTGCAAGCTCTTGCGGGGCCACATAAAATGAAGTTGCGGGCCGGATTTGGCCCCCGGGCCTTGAGTTTGACACCCCTGGACTAAAGGGTATTTTAGGTCTTTTCTGTTGACCTTATGAAATGTTTTGTGCACTCAGCAGCTTGTGGACAAAGTGTTTCTCTGTTTCCCTGACGTTATGTTCCACGGGACGATGCCATTGTCTGTGTTTTGGGATAAAAGCTTAAAAAAACATCCCATTAGGAACAAAGTATCTCGTGCTTCTTTTATTAAAACTCTTAAAATCACTATTTCTGCACAAACTGAGAGGTCGGAGGCTACAAATCACTAAATAACCTCAGCTGAGTTTCTGCTTATGTCAGGTGAAAACCTTGTGATTCTAATTTTGGCTGTTTTTTTGCAAGCACTGAAAAACCATCCTCCTCCTTTCCCTTGTGAAACCTCAGGCTATTCATCGAGCTGCTTGTTGGGTTTTCTGTCATATAATGTGATTGTGACAATTGATGGAATATGTAGGTCGTGCAGCTTTGAGTTTACCACTTTGTATTGTCAGGGGAAATTAGTAGGATTAATTAAAGAGGCCCTATTATGCTAATGTTTAAGTACCTTTTATTAGCAGGTAAACCTGTCTTGCAGATACCTGGTTTATACCCCCATTGGTCAGGTTTTCAGGAAGCAGGTCAGGAGGAACGGCAGTAGAGGAATGGAGGTGGGAGTTTAGAGGAAGGTTACGCACTTTTACATTCCCAGATGAGGATTAGCAGTCACAAGTTCTCCGCCTGCTCCTGACCCAACCTGATTGTGAAGCTTTCTCTTCTGCTACCTTCACACACACACACACACACACACACACACACACACACACACACACACACACACACACACACACACACACACACACACACACACACACACACACACACACACACACACTTAGTCCTGGCGTGACCCTGTGTGTGTTGGAATTACATTTCCCTTCATTCATGTCCTGCATGGCTGGATTGTACATTCACAGACAGTCTATTTGCACACGTTACTGTGCTGTAGATTTCAATTTAAATGGATAAAAGTGTGAAGTTTAATTAGCTCTCAATAACTAATACTGACAGCATGCTTTTATAATTTATTGTAAATGTATTAAAAACCAGAAACAACATTTTGTTTGGGGGGATCCTGAGGTTTCCAAAACAGTCCCTTCCAAACACATCTCTCATTGTGTTCTAGGTGTTATGTAACAACTGAAGATATTGACTTATATCTCAAGAGTGAGTCTGGTTTCAAAGAGGCTTCATTTGTCAAACCTAGCACACACATAGCGTATTTATTCAGTGTAAAATCTTTATCTTAAATCATTACACATTGAACTCCAATTAGCCCACTCCACCAATCTCCGTCTTTTCTTATCGCTTTGCTTGAGAGCCCCCTAGTGTCAGAAAATGACATACTTCCGTGTTAATATTTATGTCTAAAGCTCAGTATTTGTTGGATTCTCAGTCAATATTATGTAATGTTTTGTAGGAAAACTGGCACGCTCTTAAATGTCACAGAAATGTTATGAAGCTCCCGCATGGCCAAGGAAGAAAGTCCGTCATGAACTGACTCCATTTCACTTTTGTGGTTTTATCCAGCTTTCCATTGACTTGCTCATTCATGTGTGTGTGTGTGTGTGTTTTCTCTCGTAGGTCCCAAGGCGAGTGTGTGTCCATCATGCCGCTGTTTGGTAGATCCCAGAAGAGTCCGGCGGAAATCGTCAAGACCCTGAAGGAAAACATGGCCATCCTGGTCAAACAGGATAAGAAGACAGACAAGGTAGCAAAGTGTGTGTGTGTGTGTGTGTGTGTGTGTGTGTGTGTGTGTGTGTGTGTGTGTGTGTGTGTGTGTGTGTGTGTGTGTGTGTGTGTGTGTGTGTGTGTGTGTGTGTGTGTGTGTGTGTGTGTGTGTGTGTGTGTGTGTGTGTGTGTGTGTGTGTGTGTGTGTGTGTGTGTGTGTGTGTGTGTGTGTGTGTGTGTGTGTGTGTGTGTGTGTGTGTGTGTGTATCTGTGTGTTTGTGTCTGTGTGTGTGTGTGTGTGTGTGTATCTGTGTGTTTGTGTCTGTGTGAACTTGTAAATGTCCATGGGCCCGATGGTGACAGTCCTTTGTGAAATTGGTCCTGACACTTCACTGTCGAGAAAGTTTAGACACACACACACACACACACACACACACACACACACACACATACACACACACACACACACACACACACACACACACACACACACACACACACACACACTCTTAACACACAAGCCAAGATCAAGCTCAACTCAGTTTCTTCTCTTCTCTCTTCCCTCTCTCTTCCCCTCCTCCTCTCTCTTCCCTCTCTCTTCCCTCTCTCTTCCCCTCCTCCTCTCTCTTCCCTCTCTCTTCCCTCTCTCTTCCCTCTCTCTTCCCTCTCTCTTCCCTCCCTTGCTCTCCAGGCGTCTGAGGAGGTGTCGAAGTGTCTGGTGTCCATGAAGGAGATCCTGTACGGCAGCAACGATAAGGAGCCTCACACGGAGACGGTGGCCCAGCTGGCCCAGGAGCTGTACAACAGCGGGCTGCTGCTGTCGCTGGTGAAGAACCTGCAGGTCATCGACTTCGAGGTGAGAGTCTGCCCTCCATTATCCTCTTTGAATCATTTGAAACCAGGATTTCGTGAGAATGTCTTATGTTTGTCTAATTGTGTGTGTGTGTGTGTGTGATTCTAGGGCAAGAAGGATGTGTGTCAGATCTTCAACAACATCCTGAGGAGGCAGATCGGGACGAGGAGTCCCACCGTGGAATATTTCTGTTCCCACCCAGAGGTGCTCTTCATCCTGCTGAATGGGTGAGACACACACACACACACACACACACACACACACACACACACACACACACACACACACACACACACATAGATACAGGCTTTACCTACATAACGGTCCTGTAAGAGGAGACTTAAACAGCCTCTCTGAATTTGTAAAAGTTACGAGACGCCCCAGTCAGCGTTGAATTGCGGGATCATGCTGAGGGAGTGCATTCGCCACGAGCCGCTCGCCAAGATCATCCTGCACTCCAGTGATTTCTACAAATTCTTCCTTTACGTGGAGATGTCCACCTTCGACATCGCCTCCGACGCCTTCGCCACCTTCAAGGTACGAGACTGCGCTCAAGACTAACACTGTGTATCAGAAGATCTTATTATTTTATATTTGTGTTGCACTGAAGAGGATTAGGGCCACATGTGAACGTTTCCCATCTTTCTTCACAGGATCTCCTGACAAGACACAAAGTGCTTGTGGCCGAATACCTGGAGCAGAACTACGAAGCTGTGAGTAATTAGTCTGGTAAACACATGTAAAAGCCACAGCACATGTTAATGCAAGTCGACCAGCGTTACCAGGTGGAACTTTTTTTTTTTTTTACTTGCATCATTCCTGACCACATTCATGCAAGACTCCCACGAAACATCAGCCACAGAGACACACATAAACACTGCTCTACATGAAAACACACACACACACACACACACACACACACACACACACACACACACAGACACACACACACAGACACACACACAGACACAGACACAAGGAAAGAGGGATCAGTTGAAAGCCCTCGCAGTGTCACAGCTTGATACAAAGCTCGGCTCTATGCTGGCAGAGGGGCCCTGAGTGCTGAATGAAGGGCCCCTCTGCCAGCATAGAGCCTAGGGTCTCAGGCTGATGGAGCCCCCCACAAAACTGCCTTTTCACTGGACATTGCATGTTGACAGATGTCGCAGTGAAGCCTGTTGGGAGAGGATGCTTTGAGCTCAATAGAGTCCATGTAATCCAGGAGCCAAATGGCAGAACTTTGATTCGATTGATGTGGCACCCCCAGCTACAAGCCTTAAGTCTCAAATCCAACCTATTAATAATTAAATCCACCAGTGTGTTAATAAAGTATTATAATACATGTTTTGAATGTAATTGCAGGTGTTTAAAGACTACGAGAAGCTGCTGCACTCTGAGAACTACGTCACCAAGCGGCAGTCTCTAAAGGTTTGACACTATTTTAAATTGTAGGGCGATGTATACGATATCTATAACGGAGCCATTACACCCTCACACTATCTCCCTTACCCATCGTTATGATCTTCTCTCAGCTGCTGGGCGAGCTGCTGCTGGACAGACACAACTTCACGGTGATGACGCGCTACATCAGCAAGCCGGAGAACCTGAAGCTGATGATGAACCTGCTGCGAGACAAGAGCCCCAACATCCAGTTTGAAGCCTTCCACGTCTTCAAGGTACAACACCACGCTTCTATAATTACATATCCAATAACAAAGATGTATTCATGTCAGGTATGATTTGTCATAAGTATGTAGCTGTACAGTTACTGTTTTCCGTACTAAAACCCAGACACAGTTTGCCTCTTGAAATGTTTTCTTCCTGTCTTCTTCAGGTTTTCGTAGCGAACCCCAACAAGACGCAGCCCATCATCGACATCCTGCTCAAGAACCAGACCAAACTAATCGACTTCCTGAGCAACTTCCAGAAGGATCGCACGGACGACGAGCAGTTCAACGATGAGAAGACCTACCTAATCAAACAGATCCGGGATCTGAAGAAGCCGGCCTCCTAGAGAAGCCCCTCAACCCCAACTTTTTACCGATAGGATTAAAAAAAAAAACACACACACATTAACAATAACGGTTACTCTATTTCAAAGAAAATCTTCTCTTTGTTGGTTCATTTGAAACACTAGTTCTCAATCACTGATCTTTCTTTTTGTAAATGTTTCTCATGAGATCTTTGTTTGTTTTCCATCTGTAGCATGTCGTGCCACAACTCATGGTGTTGAAGGCATTCGCTCTGCTGGGAGAACCAGCGCTTAAAAAATCCTTTTTGTAATGCGAACAGTCACCAGATGCAGTCTCTACACGTGGATTGATTTCTAACTGTTTAAGTGAAGTAGCTGCAAATCAAAAATAACTATAATAATGAAGAATTTCTGCTTATTTTTGTTTTTTTAGCTCGGTCGGCATGTGCAAAAACATATTCTCAGTCATCGCTCAAAGCTTCGTTAGCCAAACATTTAGCTGCTAAACGTCCTTCTTATTGTAAAGCCAAACAACTGTGTAGTCCACTGAGACAAATATAACATTTGTGATAATTGGGCTGTATAAATAAACATTGATTGATAGTGCCAATTAAACATGGGACAGGATTAAGTAGACCTTTGAGATTAAGAGTATACTACAAGATAAATACATTTGACTATGATCTAAGGGATGCTTTTTAATCATCTGTAATCGGATGACCAATCACAACAAAGAAATCAGCATAATAGGGCCTCTTTAAAGCTCTCCAAAACCACATATATTTGGCAATATCGAGACTGAGAATAGACGTTTTGAGAGAAGTGGTTTTAGTGACTGTTGGAACATGCTATGGGTACAGCTTCCATCCTATTGATCGCTGGTGGCTGATCGCACTTTCTGTATGATCCATCATGTTAATCTTAAGATGATCACTGTTTGAGGGTTAATTTTTTTATATATAGTTTCATTTCTTGTCATGTACAGTTGATGGTTTGTACACCTGAAGTGAGTGCCATTGTGAGTGGGAACGTTGTTTTGATTTGGATCTGACGTTGGTGTTAGAAACCAGTGAGAGGATCCCGAGGTGCCTTTTTGGTTTGGTGTGTTCTTCTTTTTGTATTTCCAGTATCTTTCTAGGGGAGCTTAATTGTTATGTTAATGAGAATATGCTCTGGACAGAACATATTTGTTGTGATTAAGCAGTGAACCTCTCAACTCACTATACTTGAGTTACGCTGTCATAGAAACGTTTTTTAAAGCTGATGCCATCGTGTACAGACCAGGGGCTTTACAGTTTCCGTTGATTTAATGTTCAAATTACAAACTGTGTTGGCGAAGAAATCATCGGGAAAGTTATCGCAGAGTGAGGCCAAAGTTGGAACTGAGAAATGTAACTGTGAAAAATCCACATGTAGTAAAAAAAAAAGCCTTAAAATGCGGTTGTTTTTACATTTGAATAATAATGAAAATTGACATTTCAATTATAGGAAATGTTTGAATTTATTCTCCAATTGATATTTGATCTGCATCCAATCAGGACACTCACTAATTTAATCATTAAAATATGTCATTGAGTCCGAATGGATGACAGTAACAGTCTTGAATCTGGAAATCAGGAAAAAATAATTCAGCCTTTTTTGTCGTCTGGGTTTAAAATAAAAAACAATCCCAGCCCTTTTTTTAGTGCTTCAAGCTGTGACATATCGTACTAAGATGCAAAAGTAGACCAACCAGTTTAACTTGAGCCAAACTCACCCACGTTTTTTATTTCTCCAACAAAAGAACAATTAGCAACTCCACATGATCCTCTCTCTCAAGGCCTCCTCCTTATTTTCCACATTGATGCTATTGTACCACATTCACAACAAATAAAAGAATGGGAATGCATGCTCTGTGTGCGGGTGCTCATTTCTTGTTAAGTGTAGTGCAATGAAATGTATTTATATTTGATCTCAAGCTTTAAATGATTGATAACTGTATTTTAATGAAACATTGGATTATTGTAGTATTATTGTGCTGACAGAGAGAAAAATAAGTGAAATACAAAATGACCAAAACCGGATTTCCTACATGAAATTAACTTCACATAATTCCTCAACACAAAACAATCACACATGTCTAAAGCTGTGTATTCTCTTTCTTCAAGCTGCTTCAATAGATTAGTAATATGATTTTAGGCTGCAATATTGTCACAGCAGCAGCCCTTCAGTCAACATTGCATACTTCAAACACAAACAGTATGGATGTCTTTATGTGCAACAATTACAATTATTCACCTCTTGTATACAAAAATAAAATGACATCACAGCATCACTATAAAACTATTTAAAATATATCATTTGTTAGTGTTTTCCCTTCTTCTCCCATCCATCCATTCACGGTTACCCTTAGAGGTGTTTCTTCTTCAATTGAATCCTTAAAAGACACAAGACTGTCCTACCCTCACAACACCTCCTAAAAGCAGCCTCTTATTGAAATATAAAGTTTTACAGTCACTTTTAACCATTTGTTTTGTACAGATTACATGCAGCAGGGAGAGATGTTGATATTCTGATTCCACAACATACAGACTACTTTCACACACCAGTTCCTCCTTAAAACAGCAAATAAATACAAATATAGTGCAGCACAGATTTGATCTACAGATGTGTCCCAGTCCTAGCCTTAAAATACCAAATCTGTGGCTAAAAAAAACAACGTTCTTTCTGGTTTAACCATGTATCCGTGTGGTGTTCAGCTGACGGGTGACATGTTGGATCTGTGGGTGCACAGCTTCTTGTTGCTGTGGCTCTCCTGCTCCTCCGGCCTGCCGTGCTTCCCCCCAAAACCGTCTGGAACAAAGAGAAATACTGTTACAATAGGATTTCCCTTTAGTGTGGTTAGTGTGTGGACATCTCTAAGCGGTTGACCAATCACAACAGAGCTGGCCAGCTAACCAATCAGAGCAGACTGGGCTCTCATTTCAGGAAACTGGTGAAAAGAGGTAGTATGAGAAAAATAGAGCTTTTTGAACATTAGAGCATGTAAACATGTCACAGTAAAGGCAGGAAATACTAATATGAACCTGAACATGTGCTCTTTAAAGGTGTAAAGATCATGTGGAACTTACTGGTGTGGTGAGAAGAGGCTGAAGGGCTCCTCTGCCACTGGGAAGACAGAAGAAAGTCACATTCTCCTCCATTTATCAAGACATCAACCTCAGCCCCTCTAAGTACTCACTATGAACTTGCTGATGTTCTTCAGGCTGCTGAACTTCAGGTAGGAGATCTCTCCCTTGTCCTTGTCCCTGTCCTGGTCGCTGGTGTAGATGTGTGTGATGCCGGCTCCTCGGATCAGAGGCACACACTCATCACACGGACACTTAGTGACAAACAGCATGGTGTGCTCCTCCGGTTTGATGTGTCGGGTCCTGAAAGCATCAGCAAACACAGATTATGGGAGGAGGCTCCAGCGTGTTAAGACCAGATCTTTGTCTTCTCTGCTGACCTGAAGGTGAGTGCGTTCTGCTCGGCGTGGACGATGTATCTGTACTTGCGTCTCTGTCTGTCCTCCTGTTTGTTGTCCATCTGGGGGTATTCTGCATACTGTGAGCCTGCTGGGTAGGCGTTGTACCCGCAACCCACCAGGTACAGACACCCAGTCCCATCACTGCCAGCCTGCGACAAGGGAGCAGTTGCAAATGTAATAATAATAATAAGGGATAAACTAATAGCCAGATCACATCTAATGGAAGACATGTGAGCTCACCGATGCTCCTTTGGCCCAGATGACAGCTCCAACACCCACTTTAGGATCCTCTGGTGACAAAATGACAGGAACACTGTTTCAAATAACTGTGACCTTAAAGCCTGTCATTCAGGAAAATTAGAGAAATCTTATGGTGGCCTCGATAGGATAAGTGTACTGTACTGGTGTGCCGAATTTGTGTCAATATTTCTGTAAACAAACAGAAAACCAGACAGACCTGTTCTATAAGCCAGCAGCCTGGCCTGGATGATACAATGGCGCACCACTTCTTGAGACAGTCCCTCGTGAGGAGTCTGCAGCGAGGCTACTGATGGCCCAGGGGCTAAATGCTGTTCTCTGCAACAGGAACAACAACATCAACAACAAATAGCAGCAGTGGATGGCAAACATGTGAAGAACCGTGGATGTTTCTGACCTGTAGAAGCCGTAGTGTTGCTGTGGCAGCCCGGCAGCCACTGCAGCTAACACCTCCACCAGCTCCGTCATGTTGTTCCTCAGGTTGGAGAAGTGAGGCTCCACGCAGAAGTCCTCCAGCCCCATGTGGGTTAAAATCTCCCGGTGCTGCAGGGACGTCCTCACCAGGAGCTGAGAGGAGAAATCCTTCAGGTGTCTCGTCCGCTCTCTGGAAAACAGGAAGAATGTATCCTTTTATAAGCAAACCAGGTGCTTTTTATAACATAAACCTTAAAGGAAAGCTTGTTACCTGTTGAAGAGTTCCTCTGTGTTCAGCCCCGGATCATCGTCCTTCATCCTCTCCATGAAATCACAGTCTCTGGACGTCTCGTAGACAAACTGGACCAGGCCGGGCGCTGGAGGCTGCAGCAGGACGCAGATGTGAGGACGGCTGTTGGACTTCAGCTTCTCCGCTGCGACGGCATCCAGCGCCGCCTCCTCAGGGATGCTGCGAGGAGGATTCTGGGAACTGGAGGTGTTTGCAGAGCTGGACCTCAGCATGCTGACTTCAGGGTCTCCGGGCCAGAAGGAGATCTGACTGACTCCAGCTGCAGAGGAGAGTGTGATTACAATATACTGAAATGAACAACTTTGGAAAACTGCTGGTTTGTTTCCCTTCCCTCAGGCATCATAATGTCATGCTCAACTTAATGGAGCTATGACTAATCCCCATGTCGGGAAACCCTTCCCAAAATCAGAATGCAACTTGATTGACTAACAACTAGGCTTGGGTTTAATTCCCCAACCTCTGTGTGTCTGACCACTAATCTCTGTCTGTGTCCTCTCCTCACCGTTGACGATCATCTTGAGGCAGGTGGCGCAGGGTCTCCTGGAGAAATACAGGTGGCAGTCAGCCAGGGAGGCGCCATGCTGGATGATGGCTGCCTGTCCTGCATGGAGCTCAGGTCCTGAGCAGTGGAGTCCCACCACCTTACTGTCCTGCACCACCACCAGACCCACCCTACGGATCTGAATCACAACAGGTCTGATTACTTAACTATAACTCACTAATCTGGAGATTTGAACATTGGTTACTTCATCGTGCGTGGTCTATCTCATTGGTACACTCACCTCACTGGGCTCATCCTCTTCAGGCTGCTCCTGTGGAAACAGCTCCATCCACAGACTGAGCAAGGTAAACAGGTTTACCTTTGATAGCCTGGGGCCATGGCCTGATGCAGGGGGAGACAACAGAAGGGTTATCTTGTCTATTCTTAAATGCACAAGTGCCTTCCTGCAAAGGTGTAATTACACTGGGTGGTGTGAGTAAGTAGAATGTGAAGGAGAGCAGGGGTTGATGTTTTGAATGTCTCAGGTTGCTTCCACACCTTACAGTAAAATGAAGTGAAGGCAGCAAAGGCAGGTCCTATCACATGCATCTACTTATCATAAATGTACATGAACCCCTCATGAAGATGGTGAAGGAACTTAATACTACATGCTATTAGTAGCTGACAGCATATAAAGACACTATATGGACACTGGAGCAGAATGCCTGTAAATGAAGGGCTTATAATATATGCAATATCATATATAAATAATAATGAACTTGATATCATAATAGAAAATCAATTATGTCTTTTTAAAATACACTCCACTTTACAAGCATTGGACTCCCTGATCCAGACTTCACTTAAACGGAGGTATCATGCAATTGAATAAGGATATAACAGTAGGTTATTTACTTTTTTCATCATTACTCTGATTATTGATAGTCTGCTAGCATACACATGCCAATACAACACGTAGCTGCTATGTTAGGTATCATATGTGCCAGTCGCCTGTCACAGATCAGCTGTTTAATGACAGGACGGAATAGAAACCGATGCAGCTAAACTCTCACCTTGCAGTCTGCAGTCAGTCTGGGTGCTGCTCTCTCTCGTATCTTGACCCGGCATGGACTGGTCCGGATCGGTTCGGTTCCTTATCTCGGTTCCTTCCATTCAATCCTCCAGCTATCAAATGATATGTCCTTTGACAAGAGGAAATAGCAGGATGGAAGGAGTCGACTCAATTGACCTGGTTTACAGTGTCAAGCTAGAGCTGAGCTAGACACGTGAATACACGATGTTTCCGGTGAGTTTTTTCAAAGATAAAAGCCAGGAGCTGTATCAAGGCATGGGAAACAAATACAAGCAGTACAAGGAGGCGAATATGTAACATAAATATAATCAAATACAACCAGGTATACTTTAAATTCAATAGGTTTTATACATTTTCAAATACATATTAGCCTTACATTTTTTTCCTATCGTTGCTGGTTGTCGTTAACTTGACAAAGATCCGGTTTGTTTCCGCAATAACACATGACGTCATAAAGAGGGCGGGATAACTAGTGGTTTGTTAGATACCAATTTATTCCACCAGGTGGCAGCAAACCACCATATTTTCATATATATTGAATAAACCGCTGCTTTCTTTTTACACTATGAAGACTTAACTACTTTACCATGAGACAAACTTTAACCCTCCTGTTGTCTTCGGGTTAAATCTGACCGATTTACTACTTTCATCAATCATAACTTTTTTGTTTTACATTCGACTGCATTAAGGCTTTATGATATCCTTCACAGTAGACATTTGAACATATACAATTGCTGATCACCACTGTCATTGAATTTTGGATGATTTAGTCAACTTTGTAACACGATCCCGGTCAAAAATGACCGCCATAAAGAAAAGGAATTAGTCACCATCCGGATCAGATAAAACACCCCCCCCCCCCACCACACACACACACACACACCACACACAAACACCCCACACACACACACACACCCACACACACACACACACACCACACACACACACACACACACACACACACACACACACACACACACACACACACACACACACACACACTCTAGATGTGTTCCCCCCCCGTATGTGCCCAATCCCCCCATGTGAGTCACACCTGGCACATGCAATACATGTTCAGTGTCTATTCTTTGTATGTTTACTGCAGTTTTTCATGTATACCAGTAGTCTGATACAATATTTACAGTTTGAAAGGGTGTTGAATGAAATGTGGTGATGATTAATGGTTTTTGTGTTAATGTAATAGCAGTTAAAACAGGACCGGTCAAATTTGACCGTGAACACCAAAGTAAGGGGGGGGGGGGGGGGGGGGGAACGAAGACAATAGGAGGGTTAATGAACTAAAATGATAAGAAATATGACGTAATAAAAGAAAGTACTTAGGAGCCAAATAAGCATTGTATGGAAACAAGTTATTTATTTATTCACTGTGACATGTAATTCAATAACTAAATATAAAAGAAACATGTCAGTTATGTAACAGCAGAAAAAACACCAAATAATGTAACGCTGATTGTAATGCTTGTCCTATTTAAAGAAATGCTAAACAAAGCACAATACAAAATATATTTTATATCTTCATACAGAAAGCAACACAATCTTTTCTTCCAGCTCATTGCTCCACTAAAGCATGTACTAACCTCAATGTAATTGCTTTTTAACTGCAAGGAATCAAAGTGGTTCTTTTAAGCATCTGAGTGCATAAAGAACATGAAACCTACAGAAGTAACAGAAACAGATCTGCTCTGTTTTATCCTCTTACACCCAGTGATGGAACAGAAAGTGAGGACTAGGCAGTTTTTTTGTCATCATAAGCCAAAGCTAACAGAATATAAACAAACATCTCATTTATCCCTACAGAGAATTTCAAAGTACTCCGATTGCCTTAGCTTGCAGCGTGTTGTGCATTGTCATTGTACGTGCAGAGAAAGTGTCCTTACAGAGGAATCATTTGGTCTAACTGAGTTTGCATTGTCGCTTGTTTCTTTGTATATGTCCAAATAAGATTAGCAAACACAAACAGATAAGAACACCTTCGATCAGTTTGTTGACAGTCCCAGTGTGAAGAGAATGCAACACATTTTACATTGTCAAAGAAGGAATTCATCTGCTAGTAATGTAACGGTGCCCTAAACACTTCTAATGCAACTTTCTTTAAAGGGGACCTATCATGCAAAATGTACTTTTGTACGTCTTTTATACATGAATGTGTGTCCCCGGTGTTCCAGGGAACTCACCAAGTGTCAGAAAACACAACTCTCTCTATTTTCCTCCATACCCAAATCTCTAAAAAAGGGGCTGCAACGGATCTGATAAAAACTGATCCAGATTTGAACACTGTCCTGACGTCAGGACGGTGGCGCTACGGCTATTGGGCCAACTCCACCAATCAGGAGGAGACAGCCACGGCCATTGCCGTTCGAAAGCGCTGGAGACGTTGTAGTACATATGCCAGGCCTGTAGATGGTGCTGTTCTCACAGAATCAACCCTTGCTAAAACAGATCTAAAAAATGTCAAATTGAGCAAAATGAGGCATGGCTAAAATGCATGATCTGTTTGGTATTTTAAGTATAAATATGCCTTATATAGGTATGGTCCTACACTATATTATTCAAATATAGCATGATAGGTCCACCTTAACTTAGTTTTCCCCTTACACAGTGTGTCAAACAATTTGAACCATTACTGTTTTACTAAATATATAGAAGAAGAAGAAGCAACCGTTTCTTAAAGGTGCCATAGGGCGAAAAACAACGTCTTACAAAAGAAAAGAGTATAAAAAGTACATTATACATAAGTGACCCAGTACAACCCACAGTAGGACCTGGATCTTGTTGTGTGTTGACGCCTAAATGGGGCTCACCCAAGAAGTACTTTTACCTAACACTGTATTTTGGAAATGATAGATATGGAAACTCAAAGTGTTTCAGTACAGTGGTTCTCCTGGCCAGAGCAAGTCAGTCATCAAAGCTATCAAAGACAACTGCTTCCTATTTCTTCCAGGTATTTGGTCTATCATGTCAACTTAAGTACAGGAAGCACTGGCCGAGCAAACATATATTCAAGTATACATACAGCATGTAAAGAATGTGTGAGAGGAAAAGGCGCCATGACTTTGCCGAGTGCCTCCACAGGGATTATCCAAAGTGCTGACTTCACATTCGTCGATAATGAAGCTTAAATTCCCATCCTTCTCGTGAGCGACGCTGCCTGTGTGCCCTCAGGAGTGTGATCAGACCTGATGCTTTTGGAGTTGCTCACATCCAGAGCACATCATCTTGGTCGGGATACAGTTTGATAAATCCTAAGAGCTCCACTCAGTTCTTGAAGGCTCCGCAGCGGCTGGCTTTGCTGATGAACTCTTTGAGCATCGCTCCGTCCACCTGCCAGAAAGCTCCAGTCTGAGTCACCTGAGTCAGGTGGTTTACACAAAACCGGAAACAAAACACCTCCAGGTCCTAGAAGAGGAATAACAACATGAAACAAGAGTAGAAGAGGCAACATCTAATGTAGAAAAAGACTCAATTTAACCTTCTGGAGAATCTGCAGCAACGTGCATAAGTAGAATATGTAATATGTCGTACCTCTGCGTCGTATCGGATGGCGGCGGACAGCAGAGTGAAGGCGTTGTCCACGGTGATCCCTCTCTTGATGATCTGCTGACACAGGCGCTTCAGACGGTTTTCACAGTAAGACGTGGCCAGGTCCAACAGGCCTGCAGACAACACACAAGACAGGATTTACATACAACAAATCAGAAGCCATACAATTATTTGACCACTGTGTCTGTGCGCTAACCGATGGCGTCCTCAGGTGGAAGGTCAACAGTGTCGGTGTAGAGGAACTGCAGGAAGGATCTGTAGACGGGGTAGGAGAACTGGCCGATCTCGATCACGTCCTGCTGGTCCTCCGTCCACTGGGAGCGGAACATGGAGCGGAAGTGCTCACACCTGCTCCGAAAAAAGACCATTATCTCCACTGTACATGTTGGAAAATCAAGCTTAAATGCTTGTATCGTTTATGGAGAAAGCAATGATAACTTTTAATATATATCTATGCTGTTGTAATATTTGACTTGCTTTTCCCAAACTTTTAAAACCTTACACGTGGACACACACCTGATCTTCAGCACAGCTTTGTGAACGTGAATACACTTTCCGTCGACGCTGAATTTAAGGTCGGACGTTTCTGGGCTGTCGAACTCTTTCCTCAGAGCCTCGGAGACCGTCAGGAAGTCGTCGTGATCTGGAATAAAGCAGAATACAATCATGAAGCTTTATACTTGAAATGAAGTCAGAGGGCACCCTCTCTCTCTTTCTCTCTCTCTCACCCATAGACATGAGCCTCCACATGACGGAGGGCGTGGCGAAGCAGGCGAAGACGTCGTCGGTGCTGGTGAAGTGTGTGAGGTGTGGCATGAGGATGGATTGACCCCGACAATGACCCCACATATACACCTGGAGGAGAAACATGGTTATAAGACAATTATACAAAAGAGATATATACACAATACACAGTGCATGAATTGCATACATACCAGCCCACTTTGGGTCTTGGCTGCTGAGGTGTGTGTTGAATGGCACGCTGCGACCTCGACAATCCTGTCAAAAGAGAGATGTGTAAAGAAATCACATGGAACAAGAAACACTTCAAGAAGATAAAACTCTGTTGGGAGACGGCAGGATTTGGACATTGTTTAAGAAGGGGAAATACTTCCTTTGCCCACTGACAGCTCCTTAAGAAGAGGAGCGGATGTCGAGGCAGGAAACAGGAACACAAAGAAATCCGCCCTTCCTCTTACCTCTCCTTGTCGGCCAGGATCTGCACCGGGCTGAGGTGGTTGCTCTTGTTTCCCGTCCCCAGCTGCCCGTAGGTGTTTGCTCCCCAGGCGTACAGCAGCCCTTCGTCAGTCAGCGCCAGGCAGTGGCTGTACCCCGACACGATCTGGAAAACACGGAACATTTGAGTCATGAAACGAGTCCAATGTGAGTCATCAGCAGTCAGCATTACTTCAGGTTCTCACCTGTTGCATGCACAGCCCCTGGAGTGCAGAGAGGCGGCAAGGCGTCAGCTGGTTTCCATTGTTTCCAATACCCAGTTGCCCGTTACCGTTATACCCCCAGCCGTACACCTAGATACACAGAGCTAACTTTACTGCATGAAGTTCAGATTTATCAGGGGATTCATATAAACATTTATGCCATTTTCACCTCTCCGTTGTCGATCAGAGCCATGGAGGAGGTCTGTCCACATGAGATGCCGATAGCAATCTTCCCCTGCAGGCAGCCGGTGACTTTCCTGGGGTAAGGCTGGTTGGCTGTGGACCCCGAGCCAATCTGACCGCAGTTATTATAACCCCATGCAAACACCTGCAGGGCAGGGAAGCAACACAGTAAACACACTGATAACGGATCATTTATCTGTTTTACAATACTGTACTCTTCTCAGGTGGGAGGAAAGAGCTCTGTGTGAGACAATTCACTTTTATTTTTCACATAGACACAACCCTGTTGAACATACTAGTGTACAGTTGGTAACATTTAACACCTTCCCTGCTTGTCACACAGCCTAAGCAGCTTTAATGCCTTGAGGTTCAAAATAAGCTGCTTAGTGGAGTACTGGCAGAGCAGGAAGAGGCTACGTCAAGTGACACGTGTAAAACTAATCAGGAAATACACAAATATTTAAGCGATCATCGTGCTTCATGGTGCACATAATGGGAAATTGTTGTATTTTTCCCCATTTAAATTCCATTTGAACTCCTACAAGTCTCTTTAGAAGTAAACAAATTCAATACACATGACCTTAATATTTCAATGTGTCATGTAAAAAGCTACCTCTCCGTCCTGAGTGAGCGCCATGGAGTGATGCGAGCCGCACGCCACCTCCCTCACTTTCTTGTTCTGAGGGTTGGCGGTGACCAGCAGCGGAGACAGAGCCTGGTTGGTGTTCCCGTTCCCCAGCTGACTGTAGCCGTTGTGTCCCCATGCAAACAGCTGTCCGTCTGCAACACACAAACACAGAGAGTGACGATCAGAATCAGAATACCTTTATGAGTTCCACATATTGTTACAGCAGTACATACTCCATACTCCAAGGCCACATGATGACATTACCTCTTACTCAAGACTCTTAACATCATAAGAAGATTTAGTTATACAAGCATTTACACACTGCAGGGTTGAAGGTAAGAGGAGCATAGATAATTACAAAGACTTAAATGGATTGATTAGTTTAGTATTCACCCTCCGTAGCCAGCAGGACGTGAGGCCCACTTCCATAGCTCAGGCTGACCACCTTCTTCCCCCGCAGGAAGTCCAGCTTCTTCGGCACTATGGTGCTCAGACTGTCTCCTGTACCCAGGCAGCTGCTGCTGTTCAACCCAAACACAAACACCTGGTGGAGAGAAGACACAGAGACACCTGAGAATACAAATACACAGGTACAAAAAAAGTGATGTCTACATTTGCATAAGTGTAATGTATATATTATCCAATGTCAATATGTTTCTGTATATGTCTATACATTTCGATCTATCTAACAAGGTGTAACTGACATCCAGCTATGAGAGGAATTGGACTAAGCAAGGTGTTTATTTTAAAAGCTTTATATGTATCTTAGGAGGCCGGAAGTGCTGGGGCCTCACCTCATTAGCATGTGTGATGTAAATGGCTTCATTAGCAGAGGTCCCAAACACACAGGCCTGCCGCACTGAAGCCAGCTCCTCGGCGCTCAGCAGAGAAAACAGGGGCCACTTACTGACGTCCACCATGGCTCCTGCAATACTCAGCCTTTCTCGTCGGGGGGGAGCAGTCACAGCTGACAGGGGAGAGGAGGGAGGGATGGGAGGGGGTTGGCGAGGAGAAGGGAGGCTGTGAGGAGGAGGAGGTGGAGGAGGGGGAGGTGATGATGGAGGAGCTGAACCATCCCTGCTGACACTTCAGGAAGGAAGAGATGAGAGGTGGTGGTTAACACATGGAACAAGACAGAGGAAACACATTTCTATAAGCATGTTGTTCAGCAGCTTTGACTCATTACTTTGCTATATCAAACCGCCACAAAGACACAGCAGTCAATATAAGGTGACATAAAACTCTATAGCAGACCAAATTGCAGAGTAATGCACCTTCAAATAGTCATGATGAGCATAATATGTTAATAAATGCTATGTGTTTAAATGATTATCAAGCACACGACGTACAAAACTGGCGTACAACAATTAAGAAAAGCAGTTTATTTATAAATATATTAAAGATAGCTTTTAAATTGCTCAATTCTTAAGTGAACCCTGGCATCTCTCCATGTTAACTAGGCAATACACATCATCACAAAGCATTATAAGCAAGCTAAAACTACATTATATACCTATATAGTTCCATTTTAGGCCATCTGTATTGAACTCCTTATATTTGACTGTGTTCACTAATGCACCACAGCAGCTTAAAGGCACTGGAGGTAAACAAGCTGTGTTCTCCTGTTCCTACCTAAAGCATCGCTCCATGACAACGAATCAACTGAGAAAAAGACAGACAGACACATGTTTAAATACAGTAATACTATTAGTAAGAACATCTGCTTCTATAATATGCGAGTATATGGTGTAAAGTTACCCGATGTCGTCTCCCTGATGGAAGCGCTGCCGTCGTCTTCTTCTTCGTCTCCTGTATTTCCGGTAGAATAGGTTATGAATGGAGGTTTTGCTGCCCCCTTCTGGACATTGGTGAAACTACTCTTATTAATTTGTTGTCTTTTTTTTCCATTGATCATGTCCAGTATTTTGGGGAGAAGCCTAAGCTGATAATATATATATTATTGCCTAACAATTATTTAACATGTAGTTAAATGCTAACCAAGTATTTAAATGTTTATTTATGTTGTTCTATCCACAACACTCATTTATTTGTTGTCATTATGTTCAAGTTAACTAAGCCATTTCAACCAGCAGGTGGAGCACGAGCACACCGACCAGGGCTCGTGGATGTGAGGCATTAAAGGTTCAACTTATAAATGGGACTCAGCAGTGCCTGTCTTTAAGTGGATAAGAGCTGCTATAAGTTTTCCATCTCATTTACTCAAAGAACTAACAAAAAAAGTTATTCTAATCATCGACAGCTCATTATAAAATGCAAAGTTGTTAAAAAAAAAAGTGCATAGTAGTTTTTAAAGGTAACAGTTTAGCTCAATTTGATCTTCTGCCTCACCCGGTGACACATCAAACGCACCTTTGTTGCCAGGTGATACAGGTGCATGTTGGTCCTAGCTTAAATACAAAATACAAAATCCGCTCGTGCTTGAAATTCCGGCGTTTACACTATTCTGAGAAACTTCTGCATTCAGTGAGGTGTGTGAGACCTTTCTGCTTATGTATTATCACTAATAGGCTACAATATATAATGTTAAAATAATAATAATTCCTGTCACAGTTTTGACTGTCAAGGCTGATTTAGCTCAACACTTTTTGACTTTTAGGAACCGAACAGGACACGAGAGGCTGAGAGGGCTCGTTATATTCCTATGGGGGATAAAGGAGCAGAAAAGTTAGAGCTGGAGAGGATTCAAGAGGATTTCAGGACTTCAGAGGACTTCTCGGTGCTTAAAAGACCCCAAAAACCACCTTCAGACAGACAGGTGACTACAACAACAAACGTATCATGGCTGTATGCTAATGCAGTACTGTTGCCTAGAAACAAGGCGTTGTAAAAGAGAGCAACGGTCGAAAAAGTACGCAGATACTTTACTCAAGTAAAAGTACTAATACCACATTTTAAACATACTCCCAGTGGTGTATAACTAACTGAGTACATTTACTAAAGTTCTGTCCTTAATGAGGTACTTGTACTTTACTTGAGTATTTCAATGTGTTGCTACTTTGTAATTCTAAAAAAACAAACACAAAACAGCTGCTGTTACTCTCAAACTCTTGCTATGTTTTTGTGGCAAACAACTTCATTTGCAAAGTAATTTTAGCTCTGAAATACAATGTAGGAAGTGGCATGAAAAGGAAACACTCAAGTACAGTAACTCAAGTACTGCACCTAAGTAAATGTAGTTAATTGCATTCCACCTCTGAAGACAGGTGTATGTAAGCTGAGCTTCTCTCGCGCCATTAAGTGTGTGTTTGTGGTTTTAGCTGCTGCCGACTTTTGTGTTTGCCTTCTTGTTGACGCTCTATTCTGATGTGAAAGTGGCAGGGTATTTTACTGATGTTGTCCAATTTCACTTGTCGCTCATAACTATTTTTTTAATGGTTTCGGACATTGTTGTTTCCTTTTTAGAGTGTTGTCTTTATTCTTGTTAGGGTACACTGAGAGATAAGGTTGCATATTAATAACAGGCTGGAAATTATTTTTAGATTCTTATATTTTATGTCTATTTTAAGTTATTTTAATTTGAATGATTACTAAGGTTTTTTCAATTATAAATCGCCTCTTTTCTGGTTCCTTTGCATTGATGAATCCCCACTGGCTGCAAACCTCACTCTCACATTTCAGTGTTTTGCCTCCTCCTCTCGCCTTGTTTTTCTCTTGCACCCTCCCTCCTCCCACTCCTTCTTTCTCTGCACCCTCAATCCTGAAAATGTTCCTTCTTCCCTTTTCGATTACACTGTATTACAAGCACACACACATACTGTTCACAGGTATGCAGCTGTGGCTCTCTGCACACAGATGATATTTTGCCCCTTGATTAAAGCAATCGCATGCTGCAGACTTGAGCTGCTCCTAACAATACAAGTCGTGCACAGAGTGTGAGAAGGAATCCGCCAGGCACTGTGTGTGTGTGTGTGTGTGTGTGTGTGTGTGTGTGTGTGTGTGTGTGTGTGTGTGTGTGTGTGTGTGTGTGTGTGTGTGTGTGTGTGTGTGTGTGTGTGTGTGTGTGTGTGTGTGTGTGTGTGTGTGTGTGTGTGTGTGTGTGTGTGTGTGTGTGTGTGTGTGTGTGTGTGTGTGTGTGTGTGTGTGTGTGTGTGTCACTGCTCATACTGCCGCTGATAGTGAAGTTCAATGCTTTGTCTGTGATTGATAATTTCTGCATATTTTCACACATTTGAGTGTGTTTTTGACATCTTGAAAACATGCAAAACTCTTGGAAAGAATTACACATGGCGTTATTTGGCTTTATTTGATTATTCACGGCTTAAAAAATCCATCCAAATCCACTGAAAACTTGTGTTGGCTTGATATGATCATTGTGAACACATCATATACGTGTTGGTGTATGACACTTTAAGGTTTGTTGTATTGTTGCATGTTGTCCGTCTTTTAACGAAGAAACACTTTTATATTTGACTAAAGCTCATCACTATTTCTCATGGCTTCTTACTGTGTTAATTTGCTTTTCCTTTAACTCCATGGTCCGCACTTTCATTCCTGTCAGCTCAGAGAGAGGATTTGATTACACTGCAAACATCAAAGGCACTTTATACATGTGAGTGGTTTCCCTTCTTCTCAGTGAAACCGCTGTTTTTATGGGTTACGGTTTAGAAATTGACTGAATCACAACCAAATGAGCCACAAACCCATTTAGAGAATGGATGGTGTGTTTTAAAAGCCTTTCAACAAAGTGCTCTAAGGGACTTTATGGTGTGTGCCAGACACATTTTTCTGTTTCCTTCAAACTATTTCCATCATTCACTGACATTTAATTATTTCCCTTGGTAAAACAGGAAAGGTATGACTTGCTGATGGATATCTGCAAAACCCTGAAGTCAGTTAATTGGGTTTTGTTAGTTTAATCTATTTGAAATGTCTCTGACACTGTTATGCCTTCCCAGAGACCTCACATGCATGTCAGCAGGATAATAAGCTGTCCTCTGATAAGGTTTCTGCCTGTGTGAGTGTGTGTGTGAGTGTGTGTGTGTGTGTGTGTGAGAGTGTGTGTGTGTGTGTGTGTGTGTGTGTGTGTGTGTGTTTGACCAGCGATTGTGGATTCAGCACTATGGACAGCGCCAGCCTCTGAAAACACTGCAGCATTTCCAGCTCCGTTTCAGACCGCAATGAGTGCACACAGTGTATAACTGAGATAAGCTTCTGACAATCTATATGAAATGCACCATGCAGCACTAAATCATTGTAGTAATTTCATTTAAACAAACTAAATGCAAAGGGACAATCAAGATAACTGCTGTTTCGTATACCATACCATCCAATCCGATGTGACTGTAAGGAGTCGTGCAACAGGTGTGCAGACAGAGAAGTCTGCATTAAACTGTCAGATTCTTGGCCGGAGCCTTTCTTTGTATCAGATATAGGCGCTTGTAAAAACTGCAGTAAACAGAGACAGAGGTGTGTGTCTCCGAACCGTATATTTATGACGCCATCTCGGCGCCCTCCTCCCCAAATGTTGCCGCTTACACTTTATATCCAGTCAGTCCAGATGCTGACGGTGTGGGAACCACGTGTCTACGTATCTGCAAGCAGCTCCTCAGAGTAGAGCTGTATCAAGCTGCACAGGCAAACCGGAAGTAGCGATTTCCCTCAGAATAAAAGTCGAGGATAAACTAGACTGAACTCTTATTATAGGAACTTTAACCACAGCTGGTTGGGTTGTTTTTAACAAGTGTGAATTGTAAGGTATCAAAGTCATATGAATAGCCTCGTGCAAACACTTTTATATGAACTTTAATTTACTTCACATTTCTTCTTTAATACTTATTAATTTAAATGCATTCAACATTAGCAATATAATAAATCAAGTAAGATGTTGAAAGAAAATACATACTACAAAAATGAATAAAATAGCCAATAAGAGAGAACCAGATCCTCGTATCAAAATGTGCTTTTGTTTTTACTTGTGATAGTGCAGTTTTTTGTTTTGAAGGAGCCAACCGGAACAGGTGTTTTGATTAATTGCTCCCACTTAGTTGCTGCTTCGGTATAGATAGTCAGTGCACCTCCTCGCGCCCCACCGGCCGCTGGTCGTCTCGAGCGCTGCTGAAGAAGACAGTGAAGCACCAGAGGAGCGCGAGAGGACCACGAGCCAGACCAGGTCTTCTTCTTCTATTTCTTCTTCATTTAGTTTCTGGAGTATCAGAGACAAAGTCCAGCAGCTTCTTCTTTTTTATCAGCAAGGTGAGGAAGAGGAGGAGGAGAAGAAGAGGAGACAGACAGACAGCAGTATATTGGCGCATTGGAGCTTATGGATTATTGAGAAGTGGAGGCCGAAACGCGGATGAAATATTCATAAGGACTTTTTAAAGAGGAAAACACAGAGTGGGATAGTGCAGAGATTCCCTGCAGTGATTCACCTGCCGCTCCTGCGCTCCCAGAGACCCTGTGTGTGTGTGTGTGTGTGTGTGTGTGTGTGTGTGTGTGTGTGTGTGTGTGTGTGTGTGTGTGTGTGTGTGTGTGTGTGTGTGTGTGTGTGTGTGTGTGTGTGTGTGTGTGTGTGTGTGTGTGTGTGTGTGTGTGTGTGTGTGTGTGTGTGTGTGTGTGTGTGTGTGTGTGTGTGTTTGGAAAGGAGCCCCCCTGCTGCAGTACTTGTCTGCTGCTGCTGGTATACAGGGATGCCACCGACTTGCTGACGGACACCCGGTATCCGCACCCTCCCCTCCTCCTCCCCTCCTCCCGGACGGACGCACCGACCCCCTGCGCTCCCCACTAATATGCAATGGTTTTTTGTGAAGAAGCCGACAGCTGCCGCGTACCGCCGACTTCACGCTAGCGCCGCCGCATGCCTGTCCGCCGCTGCGGCTCCTCTCCCTGCGCCGCGCGGCAAACGACGCAATTTGAAGAGGAGCGCTCAGGGGCTTTTGACGCCGCGGCGGCCGGGCGGCAGCAGCGACTTATCCTCCGCCGCTGAGGACCACCGGCCGCTGGGGGAAGAGACCGAGGAGAAAAACGCTGCAGCGGTTGCTCTCTTCCTCGACGCCGACGCGGAATACGCGCTGGTCTCTGGACTCTTGGAGGAACCGGGCGAGGAACCGGGCGACGAGCCGGGCTTCCTGCTCCTCTTCTTGTCTATGGTGCAGATCGGGGGGTCGAAGCACCGCCGAACTGAACCCAACAGCTGGCCGGCTCTGCTGGCATGCAAACAGGGGGGCGGATCAGCCCCCATGCGGTGGGTGAATTTTAGGCTGCCGCATCCGGAGCGCCTCTCGTCCCCTACCTCGTCTTCCTCCTCCTCCTCCTCCCCCGTCTCGGCCAAATCCATGCGGTTTATTTGGAACAACATTTTCAGCAAAGGATCGCATATGCTGCAGTGTCTTTGTGGCAGGAGCCTCAAGAAAAACAAGAACCCAACTGGTGAGTTTGTTGTGTGTGAATGTGTGTGTCTCCCTCTCTCTTTCTGTACGTCTGTGTAGAGATTGATAGGGAAGCACTTTATTGCGTTTCTGTGCGTTTATAAGTAGTGTGCGTGTGTGTGTACTCCCTCCCGAGACTGCACTGTTCCACTGCTTGCTGGTGTTTCTCTGCAATCGCAGTTGTGCAGCAAGTGAGTGCACTACAGGGAGGGGAGGGGGTGTTATGGGGTGATAACTTATTAGCACAGAAACTGACTACAGTGTGCGTGCTGTGCCTGGCAGAGATGCTGCAGAAAATCAAGTCTAATGCAGCATGCAGACCCGTTCAGGCTCCAGTAACCTGCATGATTAAACAGCACATGGCCTTATTTAGACTTCCACTGTGGATATTCATTATAGTGGAGGCTAGAACAGGACAGAGTACGTTTTTCTAGGGTCTGCAGACATTTCTGCCTGAGATTGAAGACCAGATGTGATGTTCTGTTCAGCAGAGCTTCTTGGGTGACTTACTTTAAGGCGTTTTTTTGCAGTTTATTGCAACTTTTTTCCTACCGATAAGCTGTTAATTATGTCCAACACATACTTGGTACACTCACCGGCAACTTGTCCATATTCTAAAGTTGTTCATGAATAACTTTAAAGATCAGTGATGAGATTTGTCACAAGTCTGTGGCTCTGTCCATCCACAGAGTTTAGGGATGATATCACATTTAACTTACTCTAGAGCTTCTGCTCTCCAGACGGTGTGACACATTCAACTAAATGTTTTAACCAAACCAAACAGTTTCCTTTCCTAATCCTCTGCATGATAGCACTACATAAATTGACTTTGGCATTGCAACAGGAAACGGACATTGTTGACATTATTGGCATATTGACATTGCATCCACAAGTTGGCCTCTGCAGCCTCAACACCGTTTTTAGAGGGCAACAGCAGTCCCCTTGCCATCGGGCCTTGTTTGGAAGTCGGATAGCAGTCAGATATTATGTTTTCATGACTAAATGTACACACCAAACTTCCTATCATTGTCTTTTGTTGTATTTGACCTATGAACAAGCAACTGTGATTCATGAACTAGGTGACAAACTCATTGATTGACAAGTCGATAATGATAGTAGCTGTAGTATTCAACTGGTTAGTATACAGTGACCCATCTCTTACTACAATCACAATCATAATACTATCCTTATTTACTGTACCCTTAAATAGCTGACAGATGTAGTGAGGCAACAGAGTTAATATTTGAGTATCCACACACAGTCAGCACAGAAATGTGATGAGATGAGGTCAAAGACATGAATGCTGTGTCTTCTCTTTTCCCCCCGAGTGCTTAACAGTCTCTCTGGTTCTGCTGTCTACGTCTATATCATTGTTGTTTGTGTTTTAAACTAAGAGCCAAGTTGCACCCACCTGTTAGAGACTTTAGTGTGGGGAAGATATAAAGTGCAAGATAACATCTGTGACATTTTCTTATACATTATACTGTCTGTTTTCCGTCTCATGACTGCCTGATATACTGTAGTGATGATTCAACATTTTGTGAGAGGCTGATTTCCTGAAAAATGAAGCTGTACTTTATCAACACACGGCAGATCTATGCCTTTTTCCAAGGCCCTGATCAACAAGTCATCTCTGGGAAAACACCTGAGCAGTAAGACTCCAGCTCCAAACATAAACCCCTAATCTTGCAGATTAAAGGTGGAAACAAACACGATCAATATTGATGTGTTGGCGAAAGGTGAAAGGAATAATTTGCTAACACAACAGAGCAACGTTTCCTCAGCCTCTATTCACTGCCGGCCAACACGCCACTGCATGCAATTTATAAAAGTGTCACATGATGTTTTTTCTGTCCTCTGGGCTCTTTGTTTCTGCTTTCATTCCTTTTTGCTTATTTGATGAATTGGCTCGCAGCTAAACTTGCAGGATTTATGAGAGAAGGCGTATACTCCCATGATACAAAACAGGGATTTTTAAGTAAAGAATAAATAATTTACATATAACAGCAAACTTTCCAAGGTCTTGTATTTAAAACATGGCCATAAAGCTGAAATAATTGTTGTCACATGACCTTAAAGTTTGGTCCTTCAATGTGATGGATAAATCTACTGATAAAGACCATGAGATCTGGTTGAAAGCATCGGAGAAAGCCAGTAAGTGAACATCGAGCTTCAATAAAAGTCAGTTTATGACAGTTTTGATATTCCATTAATATTTAATCTGCTATTCAAGTAAAAAAAAACTTTTGTGAATGAATTTTTATGGTCTTTTTTTGTGTTTAATAGACTTTATTAACCACCATTCTTGCTGTTTCTCCAATTCAATTCACTGTTAAGCACATAACTTTGCTTTTGGCCATCAAATTCATTATATCATATTTAAAATGGCTCAGTGTTTAGCCACATGTCCTGGTGTTTTTCAACCACATGTTGTGTAAATCCTTCCAAATGCAAGTGTTTGCTTTTCCATGTGTCGCTTTGTCATGTGACGCGATTAGCTTCTGGAAGAAAATCTCACACACACTCAGTGGGATTGCAAAGAAGAGCAGCAGGATGTACTGTACACCATTAAGTTCCCAGCGAGCATCCTGCAGCAACACTCATAGATTTATAGCAGGCAGCTCCATTTAGCTGTCACTTTCTCTTTTAATTAAAGAAAAACGTACTGAATGTACTCTGCCTCGGAGCTTTAGTGTGTGTGTGTGTGTTTATAATACACACAGCAGTTGGTGGTGAAATATGGACCCGCTGTTGATGGGTTGGAGGCAGCGAGGAGTTTTGCTGACGCAGCATTTGTTGCCGTTTTTCCTCTGAATTGCACAATTTAGTGAAAGTCCACTGGGAGGACTGAAATACAGCTTTGTTTAGTGTGTATGGATGCGTGTGTGCATCAGTGTCAGTGGGCGATTCAACAAGAAGCTAGTTAAATGTTTCATTCTTCTCTTTAGTTCATGTTGTCAAAGTTGACTTTTAATTAAAATGTGTATTATTATGATGATCAGATCATGTCTAAATTCTGGTAGAAGAGGATGTTAACTGTGGCTTTTTCTTCTTGTACATTCATTGTCTACGACTCAGACTAAGGAGCAGGTTGTTGTGAGTCACCACACCACGATAGCAATCATCAATTTCCATTCACTGTCAAAAGTAAGTGAAAAAAGAGCCATTTGTGTTGAACAATGCTGCATTGCTAACAAATTACAGCTAACTTTAGAGAAATGTACTAGATTTTCTGTGGCTGTTTAAAAGCACCCCATTATTTTCCTGTTGAATTCTTTATGATCAGTTATATGCAAATTCATTTTTCATCAGTAAGCAGGTAGGCTTTCTTCAAATTAAACTTGCAGTATCAACAAATGGCATCTATCAAAAAGGTGAATCACTTTTTCTCAAAATGGATTGATTAAGTCAGGTCCCTCCGTTTTGGAGCGTTTCCTGTAAGAACCTGTGAATGGAGCTGTTGTAAATGAGACTCCAGATAGCCCAGCATCAGTATCATTCATTGTTAAAAAGAACAAGCCCCAATGTTACTCAATGTCTTGTGTCCCATGTGATGTGACCCAGATAGAGACTTTCACCCTTTTATAGCTCAAGTAGGCGTGCACGCCCACATACACACACAAGCCTGCTCACCTTCTCTGGAGAGTTCCCATTAAGGCATCTTGCTTTATATTTTATTCAAACACTGGAGTATTGCAGTGGGGTTCGTGCCAACTCGGATCTGACTCTATTTGTGAAAGGCTCTCACACACACGCATACTGTACAATACACATTAATGTTATTTTAATATATTGAATCAGTGGAAAGCGTTGAATCAAAAATGTCTTCATGCCATATTTTCCTTCAGCTGGCAACAAACGAAGTGTGTGTGTGTGTGTGTGTGTCTCAGTTGCGTGCGGCTACATTGTCCGAAAGTGATGAGTTGACAAAATAGTGACAGTCATAGTGATGTCTGTCCTCTAAGGTCACATGGAGGGTTTTGGTGCAGTACTCTAATATTGTGTGTGTGTGTGTGTGTGTGTGTGTGTGTGTGTGTGTGTGTGGGGTCATTAGTTCCCGGCCTCATTGTTTAAAACTCTCTGAGTCTGCAGAAAAACTTGCTGGTCTGATCTTCTTTCGTCCGAACTCTCATGTACGTCACGCGTCACAGTCACACACTCATAAGCTGTCAACTAGTCACACCCGTCACAAACACACACACAGCGCAGTCACACACACACACACACACACACACACACAGCGCAGTCACACAGGTCATTTATATAATCAGAGCAAAGCAACAGTGTTTCTTATGCCATATTCCCAATGTTGAATAGCTTCTTTTCGTATGTCTTATACGCACTCTAGTGCAGTTCAGTATATTGAATACAGTGTTAAAGCTGAAAATACTTCTGTAAACAAAGTTCTGATGAATTGCTGTGCAGCTTCTGAACAGCAAACGGATGAAGTAATTGTCTCACTGGAGAACATAGTGGAACATTTAGCAGCACAAGAGCCAGATATTTCCCCTTGTACGTACTCTGAGTTTATTATAGTACTTTAATCTAATAAATGTCCTAAGTGACCCTTTAACAGCATTATCTGATCTGTGACATCCGTATCAGACAAAAGCTGTTTTGTGAAGGCTGTGTTCGTGATCGTAATTTAGTATGAAACAAATGGTCGGCGAACTTTACACTGCACAAACATTTGACACTACATCGGCAATAATATCCCACAAATGCTACAAATGTTTACACCCTAAAGCTGCCTTTACCAAATTGTTGCATTCCTGCTTTCCGGGGGCATTGTTGAGTTAAGTGAGGGGAGGTATTGAAGGGTGTCAAACAAATAATACCTTTTTTAAAAGACTGTTGCAGTGCAGTGGAAACACTCTGAATTCCCAAATGAGACCATGAGCAGGAGTGTAAAGGTGAATGAGAGAATGTGGGCGTGTGTTTGGACGGCTCTCGCTCCAGGTTGCTGTCGTGAGAGAGTGAGGGCTGAGTGTTATTTTTCCA